TGTTCGGAATGAGTCGTGGGTGCCCCTCGCGCCGGCGGAGCCCGCATGGCCGCGTGGCCGCGTGGCCCTCACGCCTTGAGTGATTGGCGAAAACCCGCGAAACATGGTCACCACCACCACGCGGCGACAGAACGAAAGACGGAAAATTGCATCAGCGCCCTCCGCGCCCTCCCCGCCCTGCTGCCGGCCTGCCGGCGAGGTAATGGAGGCCTTGTCGCGCTTCGCCAGGCTCCGCTTCGCGCGCCTTCGCGCCGCGGCGGCCGAGGTGCGAGGCGGTGCGGGGCGGTGCGGGGCGTGCGAGGCGTGCGAGGGGAGACTGCGGCGCTGCGGCACACACGTCCGAGCGACGCCGAGCGACGCGACGCAGCAGCCGCGCGCACCGTATTCAAAACAACGGGCGTCGTGCCTGTAGCCTTCACCTGCCCTCCTCTTTACCGCCGTAATTTAACCTGGTCTGACAAAAACTGAAAAAAAAACTTACTGTTTCAGTGCGCGATGTGCTTAAGTTGTGACCCGCGTTTCCGGTGCAGGACTTCCCCGCCGCCGCGCCACTCAGCTCGGTCGAAACTAATCGCAATCCCACACCTGTCCCGCCAGGCCGCGACGTTTGTCGAAAGCGAGCGGCGCAAGAAACGGGCCGGCAGCAGGCTGCAGCAGGCTGGCCCGGGCAGGGAGGCCCGGCCAAGTCCACACTGTGTGCGCAGTCTACTAGAAAGCCAATCAAACGGCTCATTTCTCGGCCGCCGAACCGCCACACCGCTATTAGAGCATTGGCGACGCGATTCGCAACGTCCCCCGCCCCGCCCCGCCCCGCCCCGCCCCCGCACCCTCCCCTTCCGTTCTTTACGGCGAGGCTACAATACGACGCAATATCGGTTTGCTTCTGTCGTGCGACGTTTCAGCCGCGCCCCTCTTGAGGGGGACGCCGGAGTCAGCAGCCTGCAGACTGATTCCGAGAGTCGTTTTCGTCACTCTGTCTCGCACTCGCGGGGCGTCCCGTGTGGGTGCGAGAGAGACAGAGCGACTAAAACGGCTCTCGGAATCAGTCTGCTGCCGAATAAATTTTCACTCAAATCCCCGGGCCGCACAATAACCCGCCACTGAATAAAATTAGCCTGCCAATGGGCCGATGGGCCGATAGGGCGGTCGGCGCGCTGCGCGCTCTAGAGTCTGGAGGGGAAAGGGCGGCTACCCGAGGAGACTCCCGGTCGCCGCAGTCCGCGAGGCCGAGGAAACGGGTCGTGTGCGTCGAACTGTCGAACGCACCATAGATCGGGCAATAAAGGCAGCCACAGCGCCCAGTGCGGGGAAAAGTAGCAAAAAACGCGATCGCTCTGTGTGGTTTACGGGCGCCGACACAGTGCGCTGCACACTGTACCGCGCTTCCGTGTGGCAGACGCCAAGTACGCGTCGACGCGACCGCAACACCGCATCCTCCCATCCTCATAACCCGCTGCCCTTTCGATCAGTGACATTGGCGCGCACCCCACCCCGCCCCGCCGCGCCCGTGTTCCGGTCAAGGTTCCATCCCAGGACTCCCTTACATAAGCGTCGCCGTGGCGTCGCCGCGGCGGTGGCGTGGCGGCGCCGTGACGACGAGTGAGGACTCTCCTCATGAGTCACGACCGCGGCCGCGGCGCCGCGACCATGCCGCCACCATGCCGCCACACCGCGCCGAGACGCTCCGGGACGACCGCGGGAGATTCGCCGGCGGCGACGCGGCAGCTGGGAAACTCGCCGCGGGGCCGGCACCGACCGGTACACTGTTTACAACTGTCTCTCTCGCACCTCTTCGGGACGCCCTATTAGTGGGAGAGAGAGAGAGAGCGCGACCCTCGGAATCAGTCGGCAGGCAGCGCCAGAACCGGCCACCCGGAGGAGGCTCCCCGGTGGAACACGCCCCCCGAGTCATAATAAAAGGGAGGCTTCTAGGAGGCGACGGTTTTACGGTTCAGCGTTCGGTAGGGTTCCCCGGGACGTCGGGACTCCGGGACATGCTCGCCCGCCGCAACAAATCTCCGTCGACGCCGCCGAATCCGGCGAGCGCGCCGCCCCCGGCCGCACCCGGCCGCCCCCGGCCGCCCCCGGGCGATTGGGCAAAGGAAGGGCGGCAAAGGCATAAAGGAAAGGAAAGGACCTGTTGTCGGCCGGCACCGCCGCGCTCCGCTTCGCCTTGCTTCGCCTTCGCATTGTCTCGGCACCGCGCTGCTGACGCTCTGACGCCGATTCGCCGATTCGCCGATTCCAACGAGAAGGCGAAGGCGGCACGTCGCGCCGTCGCGACCTTGGCCGGCGTTCTCGATAACGCGGTATGAAAAATTTATCCCGAGGCGCGTTTCACAGTTTCACAACGCGCGCATTTATGAGTGCCGAAAAAAAGGACGCGCCGAATCGCTGCACTTGGCGGAGGCATAGCCGTGGGAAGGTGACGGGGAGGGGGGCAGGACAATTCCCCGTGCAGCAGTTTTGCCAGTCACGCCCGGAGATTAAAGTCATCTCTACCCGATGGCGCGGAGGTCAAGCAAGCAGTCGAGTTCGATGATTATAATGTCGGCATTCGACACGCCTCTGTTTTGTTTTTTCCTGTGTCTCCGTGCGCAACCGTTTAAGGCGCGAGACAGAGAAAAAACAAACGCACGAACCCGCAAGATAAACACAGGCTTTGATAACCTGTGGAAGTCCTAGGAACGCCCACCCGCCATGACGCGCCCGGCAGGCCGCCGCCGGCGGGGGCGGGACACATTTGTAGGACTGCCGGGCCTGCCCCCTCCCACTGCGAGAAGCCGAGAAGCCCCGCATTATTGGAGGGCCCCTTGAACCCGCCCCGCGGCCTCTCTGGGCCCCACGGCGTGAGGTCAGGTCCGGCCTGCAGGCTGGACAGTGACTCCGACGCGCTGTCTCCGTCGCACCCCAGACAGAGAGGGACGCCGTTCATCGCGCAGCAGCAGGCCGAGCAGGCCGAGCGAGGCACACAGGAAGGGCAGCACACAAGGGCGCTGCCCTCGGTCCCTCGGTCCTTACGGCCGCTCCTCTTGGCGACCTCTTGGCCACTTAGACATCGTCGACGTTGTCGTCGCCGCCACAGGCGTTCGCGGTTTGGTCCGCGGCCATGAGACGTGCCTTGCGATGGCGAACCGCAGCGCCGCGCGACGCACCGCAGCGGCTGGACCGCACTGAAAGAGACAGGAATAACAACGGCCGAAGACCCGAAGGCCCGAAGGGCTGGGATTGGCTGAGACGCTCGGAAGGAAGTGCCCCAAGGCAAGCGACCGCCGTCAGAAAGGCGGCCGCTTCCTCCCACGTCCGCGGCCTTCGTCCTTCACACACTGGTTCGGGTTCCCCTGGCTCCTCTCCGTGCCCCCGAGCCACCGAGGGACTGTCGCGCGGCGCTGCGGTCGCCCGTCGGCGCTGGAGAGGAGAATGTCATGACGCTGGAGGCTGCTCTGCAGCCGTCCAGGCGGCCTGCCTGTCTGACCCTCCCGGCCGGCAACGCACACAAGCCTCTCGCAAATTAGTGCGGTGCCCTTCGGCTTGAGGAAGCGACGCGGTGCTTCTCCTTGGGCAGGCGCGGGCGGCGCGGGCTGCCAGCCGAGCGATCCAGAAGAGCCGCGGTTCGTCGCGCTGTCTCTCTCGCACCCCTACGGAGAACCCCATGAGTGCAACAGAAACAGCAACGAACCGCTCTTGCGAATCGCTCGGCAGGTTGGCGCAGCCGCAATGGACCGCGCGGTGCGTTTGCACCTCGCAGACTCAATACGGTATCCTTGGCGTTGCGCGTTGCCGTCATTGGCCCGGCCGAGGGTGTGCGGGCGGGGTCCCCTCGCAGCGCCGCGCAGGCCATCGACGGGGTCGGCGAGGGTGCACACTGCCCCGCCTCGCGCCTCGCGCCCGGCCGCCCGGCCCGAGGGTGCAGGCCACCCCCGCCCGCCCCGCCAGCAGCAGCAGCAGGATGGAGGACGCAATTAAAACGTGGCGCTCAACCGTGGCCGCCGCACTAACAGGGACTGTGTGTGTGTGTGACGGCGACGCGCGTTCCGAGCCCCGGGGACGACATGGAGGCCCCGCCGCACGTGGTCCGTCGCACCATTCCTTACGGGGACGCCCATGAGTGCGAGAGAGACAGAGTGACAGAGCATTGCTCGGCATTAGCCTGCAGGGCCGGCCAAGATGGAGACAAACGCGCGCGGGGCGGCGGGGCTGACGCGAGTCGCATGACGCGCACGGGCCAATTTCCCGCCAAAACGGAGGCAACCCCTTTGACCGCCGACTGCGGTCTTCCGGCCCTTTCGGCAGCGCCGGCCAGGCGGCCAACGCAGACGTGGCATGTACGCCTTAATGTGCCGCTAGGTGCCGCGTCCTGTCTCTCTACCACCCCAACGGCACGCCGAGAGACAGAGCGGCGGGTGCCCCATTCGGAAGCAGCCCCTGCTGTGCTGGTCCCTGTGGGTCCCGGCGGGCTGACGGCGGCGCCGCCCTTGGCGGGGCTTACCCTGACGGGGGCGTGCGCAGTCACGGCTGTCACCCAGTGTCACCCAGTGTCAACGCGGCGAGGCGACGGGGATCGTCACGCCCGAACACGCCAATGGAAGTCCCCCCCCCCCCCCCGGCCCGCTCCCGCAGTCCTGCACCGCGACACCGCCAAGGAGGCCGGCATTGTGTAACCGATTAGCACGAGGCTGGCGCGGCTGGCGGCAGTGGCATGGCAGTGCATGGCAGTGGCGTGCACTGTGCGCGCCGTGTATCGCCTGCATAGTTGTGGCGACAGCCGACGGCCACGCCAGCGCCCCAGCGGGGCCGGCTAGACTCACTTTTTAGCGGGAACCGTGGAGCGCGGGCGGTGGCGATGACGGTGCTGCGGCGGCAACCGTCAACCACTGTCGTGGGGGGCGCGTCACAAGGCGTTACCATGCGGTGCACGCCTCAATCGGCCAACGAGTGTAAAATCAAAGCTATCAGCTCGTGGATGAAGTGGACAGGCGCAATGGCGTCGTCGCGTTTACCTTGGATGGAATTCCCTTTCGTGGACACGGACTGAAGCAGCACCAATGCACTCCTTAAGCACCACGAGCACGCACCCGAATGCACAAACTGAGAAGTCGAAGGTGTAAATCCAAGTGGGTTGCAACGAAAACCGGCTGTCGAACAGCTAAAGTCGCGCGGAACACAGAACAGAGGCCAATGCCGGCGTGACTGGGTCTCGTCGCGAGAGAGGGCTCGTCTCTCGGCTGCCTTCGGCGCGCGCACACCAAGCAGACCAGAGCGCACTCCGCGACGGTTCGCGAGAGACTGACGGAGACTGGGCCCGCCACCGCCCGCCGCGCGCGCGCCCCGCGCGGGCCGCCTGGTAGAGGGGCGTAGGGGCGGCCCGGAGCGGCTGGCGGCGGCCCGGCCACGGCAGGCACGGCGACCGTGATGCGCGGGGCGGGGCAGCGGGATGAGCCCGGTGAGCCGCGGACGGCAGGCGGGATGGCACCTCACCAGCACGACAATGGCTTCGTCTCCTCCAGGGGTAGTAGCAAACCTGTGCAGGACCTGCTTGACTGGGGACGGGGTCCGCTGTCTCTCTCGTACCCCTACGAAAAGCCCCGTGAGAACGAGAGAGACAGGACAACGTTCGAAGTCAGACCTGATGCTGCCGTGTTTTGGAACTACAGTGAGCAATAGGAGCAACTAATGCCAACCAAGACGCGAAAGGCGTTGCCGAACTTCCGTATCAGATCAAATCAGATTTTAAGCACCCGCATATCTCGTGGTGCCACAACCATGGCAACCACAGCCGAGGTGACGGAGTGGCATTCTTTGTTGTCAAGTGGATCATTTTCATTGCTGATAGAAGTCTGATTCTGAGAAGTGAAAACGCGTCTGGGGAACGCATCATGCTAGTGGCGTTCGCGGCTTCCTTCTCTGCGGCTCGTCGAGCTTCAGCTTCTCGAGTGGCGAGCGCTTGCCGTGGAGTCCCGAGGTACTCCTCGGACTCAGCACATCGCCGCATCAAAGCCTCTGCGGTAAGTGTTTTGAATCAAGCTCGACCCAACGCCCTCGCACGGCCTTGACCTTGCCCCACCTGCAGGGCGCAGCACTAGAAGCTCCCACCAGGACCTCGAGAGAGCCATACCGGACGGTGGTCCTCGCGTCCACCCCACGCGAAAGTACCCCGCCCAGTGCCGTGGCAGGCGCGTGCGCTGGCCCAGACGAAGGAAGGGTACGTGCTGTCCTGGGACTTGTTTTGGGCCTTCCGCTGCCTTCTTCTTCGGCAAGAGTTACTGTAGCATGTGACTTTCAAAGCATCAGCTTAGCTTTGGTAAGTACCCCTCTAACTCTCTGCAGGACCACGAAGGGGATCCTGCTGTGGTGGGTGTGATGGTGGACGAGAGGGATCCCAACCTAGACATGCCGTGCCATGGTGAACCCGCTCCCAACCGCTAAGCAGGTCGGCTGATGACTCACCCAACCATCCCCATTACCAATGCTTTAAAGTTTTTTGGTTTTTTTTTTATTGCAGAGTGCCATTTGAAAGGTAGTAAGTAATGAACGAAAACAACAACAAGAATCTCACAGGTATTTTTTTTTTATTTTATTCTTACATCTTTTGTATGACATCTGAAAAAGAATTGGACAAAACTCTACTGGTATATATTCACACTGTTTTCTACATGAAGATTGCACTAAATTAATTACAGAGCCACAACACAATCATGGCAATCAGTCAAAATGAAGTACACAAAGCTAATGAAAAACAGAATTCACACTAATATCTTAAATAATCAAGGTATAATTGTGCATCATACAAATTGTATGACTCATAGAAACAGATGTTCTGTTTGCTTGTTTGTCGCAACTCTTACACAAAGCCTAAAATAAATCTTTTGAAACAGATGACCTTAAAGGCAACAATATAAATGGGCTAAGCGTAGGAGGAAACAGCAGGTAAGCTGCTGATATATTTTTATGCCCATGTGCACTTAAAAAAAAAAATCAGAATGTCCAACAAAAGTCTTGCCGTCCACAACGAGTATTTCAAACTAATTCAGAAAGCAGTAAGATAACTTCATGTTATAATGTGTGCATAAAATAAGTTATAAACATGCAATAAATCATGGAAAATCTTTTTTAAAGAATAAATGACTATATATAATATTGAGGGGTTACTTAAGTTAATTTTCAAGTAAATTTTCAAGTTAATTTTTTAAATAGTTAATTTTGAAGAGGTCTACATGCACTTAATCAGGACCCAGAAAGAAATGATGTAGATGCAGCCCGCATCAAATCATGAATTCAAAAAAACAAGACTCTGCACAGGCAAAGTAATTATACATACATATCAAAATTTAACATTGAGAGCCTACAGAAAACGACACAGTACACCAATGTGTGATGCAAATTACAAGTTATATTAAGACCTTGCTTTGAACACAAGGCAGTCAGTTATATGGCACATGCAAAATAAGCTACAAGGAGGAAATAATTTGATTCCTTGAAATTTATGAGTTTTAGATGTATTCATTTGCATTTTGTAACTATGAGAGCAACCAAAATAAAAAGGAAACAAACAAGGTAGAAATCTGTCAATATTCTTCCCTCCATTTTGTTGCTATCACAAATTGGGCAGTCTCCTTTCATTCTTCACAATTCCTTCAAAAAAATATGCAGCCACAGTGAAGGCCAGATACACATACAAAAATACACACAACTCACTTATTCTTCGATTACATGTGTAATGATGGAAACCTACTCTCATCACTTACTGCAAGAACAAAACAAACAAAACTTTGACTCTTCCTTCTCCATTTTTGTCAAAATGAAATCTTGGAAATAAGTTAATCACTAAGTATAATGAAATTCAGAAGACAGTTCCACATGACCAACAGGTACTTAGACCACTCCTATTGATAAGACTATGAAAAACAAGGAAGAAGAAAGGGAAAAAAGAGAAGAGACAAATAGCACAGCCAAAGTCAACTCATCTTGGTATGTGTTTGTTACAAGTAAATCCATTGCTTCCCAGAGAAATTAGAACTGCATCAAATATGGCTCAGTCAGTCTCAACGAAGATGCTACAGAATTGAACATCATCATTAACTTTCTCTTCATCAGGTAAGAAATTGTTAAAAAGGTGTTTTTTTTTTTTTGTTTTTGTTTTTTTGAAAGGGTTTAAATCCATCAACAAAATTTGTCATTTTAAAAAGAGAGAATAGAATTTCTCAAAATAGAAAAGAGATAAAGAGAAAAACAACTTGATACTTTTCTACATATCAAGAGACATGAGATTTGAGACTCAAAGGAAACTTGATCATAATGTAGTATCATTATAATATAATGTGTAAAGAACACTTTACAAATAACAAAAACAAAAAAAGGGGGAGGGGTGTAAACCTACTTGCTACAAAGTGTGAGAAGAGATCAACTTCCACTAATATTAAATAAAAGTCTGTGGCAACAATATACCTACTTCCTACCTATTAGAAAGAAGCAATCGTTCACATTTTTCAATAATACATCAACAAAGTGAAGATCAAGGTAACATAATGATATTTATTGAATCAAACACTCAAAACTAGAATAAATCAATTAAAATAAAGTCATATTTGAGCAAAAGAAATCAGAAGAGCACAGTGAGAGCAATGTCAAATACAAAATGGATAGTCCATGACATGTGAGATCTGTAAATATTGAGTTCATACAAACTTCCTGATTAATATTTACGAATGACTTAGACGAATAAAGTTAAATCAGTAACTTCCAACACGGAGGGATGCAGGGAAGAACAAATCACACAGGAAGAAATAATTGTAACTGGCAAATATTCGTCCTTGCTTTTCTTAAACATGCAAAGTAAAACCACTAGATTCATGTTTTATTTTCCAAACAACCGTCATTTAAAGGGAGACTTAATGCTCTTTCAACCATCACAAAGCTAAACATAGGAATATTTTTAAGGTTTGGTGGCTCTGCTGGAAGAAACTTCAGGCAAAGAGAAGGATGATCGTTTCAGATACAGAAATGCATAGTACATGAAGAGATCAATCCAAAGTTGACTTATAAACCAGCTTGACTTTAACCACTGATCTTTCAAAATTTAAGTTTCTTCTGAAGTGTCAAGAGTTTAACTCGATACAAAATGTAAACACCATTAAATTGTAGTAAGAGTCGCCCTTTCATTTATTTTTCAATTATCTTGAAGTTAGCTGAGAAGCTTTACAGTTTAACAGAATGTTTGGCACAGTGAGAACAGAATGATTTGGTCCAAGAAGAGCAATTAGCAAGGATAAAAAAAATGTGAAAGAAAAATGAAAGTCTTCCAACAGATCAGCCATAACAAAAGTATAAATAATAATGAGATATGAATTGGCTTTAATTCTAAAAGTAACTAAATTGTTTAACACATAGTTATTTGTAATGTGGCATTTGTGCTATGTTCCACAACCAAACCATGAAATATCACATATCAAAAGAAATGTTAATCCAAATATAAGCCCTTAAATTACAAGATGGGGTGTGTTTCTTTAATGGTTCTATTTGACATTGGAATATTGACAAAGTCTTAAAAAAATATAGGAAGTAATTGAAAGCAACACAGTACAGTAGGGCTCAAAATGGACAGAAGCAAATGAACAAATACAAGCAATGAGCAGCATGAGAACTCAGAAATAAAACATTGACACCTTCCTTTAAAAAATGAATACATACATTCTGGTAGAACTGAATTATTGCATCAATTCTAGATGAATAATTGCAAAGGTTAGTAATTCATTAAAAGTACAGGAAAATGTCAGAATATAAACAACTCTGTAAGTATGAAAGGCTAATGACAGTATAGTGAGTACAATCGAATACAGTATTATTGCAGTAACAAACAGTAGAAAGAATGACAGAATGAAGTAGGGTGCATATCACAACATAAACCACATCAGGGAAAGAACATACTATGAAGAACACACTGAAATACAACCAAGACTGCAGTCAAATCATCAATCATACTAATGAGCAAAACAGAAAACCTAAAATATCTTTTCAGAAAGTTTGATTAAATGTACTACAATCATGATGGAAATTTCAGTGGAAGCATGCTGTTTCTGACACTTAAACATCTCACAAAATAACACACTTCTTGCGCCTTGTAACACCTCTCAACCGCTTACGCTTCTCTTTGCCTCTTTGTTCTTTATCCTTTCTGATTTCCCGTACCAGTGTATAGAAAGCATCATCAACACCCATACGAGTTTTTGCAGAGGTCTCAACAAACGGAATATTGTACGTTTTAGCAATATCCCGAGCTTCTTCCATGTCTACATTCCAAGATTGCAGGTCACACTTGTTTCCAACCAGAACCATTGGTACCTCCTCTGCATCTTTTACACGTTGTATTTGCTCCCTGTAAGTGCCAATATCTTCAAAGGATTTAGCACTATTCACTGCAAACACCAGCAAAAAGCCTTCACCTGTACGCATATACTGATCTCTCATAGCACTATATTCTTCTTGACCGGCTGTGTCAAGGATATCCAGTAGACACGTCTCGCCATCGATGACAACTTGCTTTCGATACGAATCTTCAATAGTTGGGTCATACTCATCCACAAAATGATTTTGGATGAGTTGGATGGTGAGGGCACTCTTGCCTACGCCTCCCGCCCCAACCACCACTAACTTATATTCCGTCATTATTCTCGAAAATGAGAAGCACTTATAAAGTTTCACCAAAGACTCTAGAATTGGATCCAGGCTGAGGATTAGAACGAAGCCGGTTCGTCCTGGTAGAAGCAGAAAACGTCAAAACAACTCAAACAACAACGACGGCCATTTTCAAGGTTGATCCGCACATAGCCCACTAGATTTGCATGGAAAATAGAAATGGTCAAAATACGTCCGTAATGGTAAGCAAGGGATTGGAAATGTTTCGAAAAAGTCTGAACACACTATCAAATGGTGCCATTCAAAGATTTTGATGTTTTTGACATCCAATTTACGAAGATTTTGTTCAGCTTCGGAATCCAGGTTGGAGTGGTCGAAGTGGCGGCAAATTCGATATCCGAGGATGTGCTTTTGTAAACTTAAGATCAGTATGAAAATTTTCGCAAATTTTTTTTTATTAATTTTTACCTTTTGGAAACAGCCATAGGGTCAAAATAAAACCAGGAGCAACATCTTGCTAGCGATTGTGTGGTCTCAGAAGATTGTTTTGAAAATCCCGCGTTGAGCGGCTTCCGTTCCGGCAAGCAGAAAGGGGAAGGGGCGGGGAAGGGCAGGGAAGGGCGGGGACGTACACACAGGAAGGTGGACAGACGGACAGAAAAGGAAAAGACAGACAGACAGACAGACAGCAGCAGAGAACCACAACCGTACTGTTGCAGTGTGTTGGTTTTATTGACTGATTTCGTTTCTGCTGTGATTTTGAAACAGAACAGTTCTGGTTCGAACGTAACAGGTTAATTTGATTAATTTGCCCGCACCAGTTGCCAGACCCAGCCGTAGATATGTCCAATAAGTTTGACGCGTAAGTATCTTGTTGTTGCTTTCTTACAGTTGTGAAGCAATCAGTATTTACATTTGAACACGTAAAGGGTCTCATGTCTCGACTCGAGCGGTAAAGTTGTGCAAGCTCTAGGACCCTTATTTTTATCTTCCCGGGGTATAAAGCCCACGTAATTTTGAGGTTAGGAAGTGGTCTTGCAGGTCCACACTCGTGTTGTTGTTTAATGTGGAAATGCCACTTACACTTAGTCTGCCCTTCATTGAGGAAATACTTCCATACAAATTATTTGTATGAACTGTCAGTCCTTCAAGAGTTTCTTTCCATTCCAATTGTGAGTTATGTGTCTGTATAGCTTACTTGTAATTCTTTTTGTGTTACAGCTTGAAAAACAGTGACGATAGTGGTGAAGATGATGTTGGCAAAGACCTACAAAGTGTTGAGAAAGAACCACTGGTAAATAGTTTTTCCTAATTGAATCCCAAATGTGTTCTTTGACCTGCTTATTCATGGTACCAATGATTTCTGTCCAGCCTCCTCTAGTCATTCCAGAATCGGATCATAAGCTTCAGTTTGCTTACTGGCTATGGTTCAGCCGAAGATCTCCAGGCAAACAGGCATCTCTTCAAAGCTATGATCAAAATCTTAAGCTCATTGGTCGTTTTGGCTCAGTTGAACAGTTCTGGGCTCTTTACAGTCACTTAGTACGGCCCTCTGAACTTCAAAGCCATAGTGATTTCCACCTTTTCAAAGTTGGCATCAAACCTATGTGGGAGGTATGTTCAAATTTGTCTTTACAGTAAGCTCGCTCTTCTCTGCAAATTTTTTCTATTTTTATTTCACTTCTATAGGATGAGGCAAATCAGCGAGGGGGTAAATGGATTGTACGTCTACGGAAAGGTCTGGCATCCCGTTGCTGGGAGAATTTAGTGTTAGCCATGTTAGGAGAACAATTCATGGTTGGTGAAGAAATCTGTGGGGCTGTTGTTTCCATTCGATTCCAGGTTTGGCATTGTTTATAATTAACAACAATTGCCTCTACCATTATTTTAACAGAGTAATATTGTTTGTGTGTCTGTTCTTGCAGGAAGATATAATATCAGTCTGGAATAGAACAGCTTCAGATCAAGGCACAACAGCAAGGATCCGTGATACCCTGAGACGAGTGTTAAATCTCCCTCCTAACACAATTTTGGAATACAAAACTCACAATGACAGCCTCAAGTAAGACGTGTGCTTTGCATCATGTGAAGTTGCATTGAATGGTACTTAAAAGACAATTTTGCTCTCCATTTTTCAGGGACAATTCTAGCTTCCGCAACACAGATGTTTTTACAAGGTAGCTGATAATCCTCAAATCGACTGCGAAGCAAAAATTACCTTTAAACTAAAATTTGTTTTTCTTTCTTTTTGCAATTTCTTTTTTAGAAATCCATCGTCTGCCTTGATGTAATTACTGTTGGTCAGCGAATCTTTTTTGGTACTTAAAGTATTTCTAAATCAGCATCAAGGTGTGTTATCATCTTTTTGCTCTAAGAGACCCCATGTGCCTGATATTAAGCAGTTTACTGTTTTAGTAAAAAGTGTGGACTTGTGTATCATAAAGAATCATGTTTGTTATGCAATATTGAATGTGACTTGAAAATGAAACATTTCATTGTAATGTATATTTGTTACCAAACTATGCAAATCAAAGTGAACTAAAGCTCAAATAACTCTCTGTTCTATGTTTCAAACCTGAAAGTGCCCCTGTTCTGTACATACATCATGCATAAATGAATTTTGTAGGTAAAGTATGAAAGACAGTTACAAAATTTAATGAAGAAATACATGTTGGCAACAGATCAAGGCAATTAACTAACAAAAAGAATAATCCCTATGCTTACATTGGGGAATGAAAAATAAATTAAGAGAAACAAAAGACAAGATCTACATATCATAGCCAAAACCTGCTCATTAGAAGTAAAAGTTATGCCAGTCATAATCATTATCCTTAACAAAGTGAAAAATAAGAGCAGATACCTTTAAGTCAATAAATTCAAGTGCAGTACTAAAAATCTAGCCTTCTTTGTAAGTTACATAGTTACTCAAAACCTGTCTGAGATCTTCTGATAAGGGTAATTCAGTCAAGTAAGGCCCAAATGCACTACATAAGATATACAAGCTCCGTTTGACTGCTGATGTAAGTGCAGCTTTCAAACGCAGGTCTAATGAGCCAGGACGAAGGGCTCGTTTATGATGATGGAGAGGTAAGCGTTCTAATACATTCTTCAGTTGAACAAGTGACTTAATTATAGCTGGAAGGTCTTTTTGCACGACTCCATAAATGTCTCTCTTCAATGAAGCAGCAGACAAGTGTGCCAGGGCCTGTGCTCCCCAAGATAGGTGTTGGCTGTGCAACAGCAAGTGTCTGGCATTAGCATCTTCCATTTCACCAAAAAGTAAATTGATGCCAGGTTTGCGACGAATCCATTGAAGAGCGTTATTCAGCTGAAAAAGGATCATTAAAAAAAGGCATTATTACACTAGAACAAAAACATGACACATGTTAACATAACAAAAAGCCATTTTTATACCTGCTGCTTTGAAGCTGCCATCAAATCCAAGTCCTTCTTTTGTCTTGACTGAACACTGTCTGTAGTATAGAGCATTGAATTTCCAGCGACACTTGTGTTCAGATCATTGGCCTGATAAATAGACATGTTTCTCATACGAAGAGAAGGTGAAGTTGGTGATGATAGCACCGGAGATGTGGGTGCTATACAACTTTCATTTAGTTTCTTGGATTTCTGCGGTGAGCTTGGAAGAAGGGGGCCATTGGATGCTCGATTTATATCACAGACAGCAACACTAAGACCAGATGAAAAGGAATCCAATGCCCTCAGCACTTCTGTGACAACTCCATTCCAGTTGTGAGGATGACCTCCAGGAAGGCTGAGAGAGAAAAGTTCAGCTTGACGAGCAGTATCCCTTTCAGCGATGTGAAGGAGATCCAAGTAACCGAGCCGCTTCATCAATGGTAATGGTGATACCAAGACATCATTCAATGTCACCTGGTCACCGGAAGTGTCCGTGATTGGAAAATGACATCTTTCCGTCAAAAAGACCTGCCCCAAAGCAAAACAGAAAACACAAAAGTATAAAAACTTAAAGCATGGTTAAATAATTTAAAGACAGCTGGGTTCCCTAAGTAACAAATATACCTGAAACAGCATCTCCATTGTCCGCCCAGTCAGGATGATGATTGCGGAGAAAAGAAGGCAACGCAGGGTCAGGAAAGGTTTCATCCAGAAGAAGACTGGTATGGCAGAGTCTTCATCAATAGGTAATCCTATAAACCCTGACAGATGTTCTCGTAGGTAGCCACCACACCACCAATATAAAATGCAAAAGTAAATATAAGGCAAAACAGCTTCCTTAAAAGACTGCAGAACTGACTGGCCAAGTCTCATCTTCACTTGAGAGGACTTCAACTGCTGCACCATTGGAAACATGACACAACGAACCTCCCAAATTTGCCGTTTGGTAGCAGCATAAAAACCGATCCAAATACCACACGATAATAGGTACAAATTTCTCTCATTGAGGCACTTTCCATGCTCACTCCCACACTTCCTGCTCAAAATGTTAGTCTCGTCACCCAACAAAGCTGAATAATATGAAACAATCATTGCCCCAAACACCATATTCAGAACAGCCATTACAACGTTTCTGGGCTGGAAAGCACTGCACAATATGCCAAACCTTGTTCGCACACAAGATGCTTCTGTCATTAAGTCTTTGCTCATGAGAACTCCTTGAGCAAAAGTCATGACACCCAAGGGAAGAAGATAAAACCAAGTTCCAATGCTGCTGATGGAAGTGTAAGCATTCTTGATCCACTGTAAGGGATGCAGTATGTCTGTGTTCATCAAGAACAACACGTGAGAGACGTAGACACATTGTAGCACGATGCTCCATAAAATTGCCTTGAGCATTCGGGAAACAAATATTTCACGGGCGTATTTTCCTTTGATAGCGGCATCATTGCCTGTTGATGTTGACATCTTCACACACCGGCACACCGACTCACTAGTGGACTACCTAACCTATCACAACAGCACAGCCTTTCTCTTGTAGATTCTTCAGCCGAAGGCAGCTTTACTGTGTATTCAGTCGATAGTTCTCCGTCAATATTTTCCTTTATCGTATCATTAAACTGGAGAAAGTCGTCAATTGTTAGCCCGTTGCCTAAACACCATAAAACTAATGCAACATTTTAACTTTTGCGCCCCACAATCAGTTTCGCGCCCGATGTGACCACACAAACGCACATTAAAAACATCGTGTGCTAGTGCGGAAACAATGCCACTCTGCCAGTTTCATGGGTGTATTAAATTCTAACACTTTGAGTAAACTAATAATAAAGCGTCATGAACTGAAATGTTTTACTTCATACAATCCCCTGCGTTATGTTGATTGAAAATTTAGTTGCGGATTGTTGGCGCGCTGAACATTTCAAACGCACGCGGGACACCTGACCCTGACGTGACGTCAGTGAAGGATGCGCGTGCCAAGCGAGGTACCTCCCTGAGGAGCGCGACGGGGGCGGCGCGGGGAGGGGCGGGGAAGCGGTTAAACAGCCGAACCGCCGAACCCCTCCGGGGGCCTCGCGTTACGTATAAGGGTTTTAAGGGAGCGTTGTTCCGAGGCTGTTTGCCACTCATGGTGGCACCAATTAAAGGCCTGCATATAGCAAAGAAGGAACCTAAGCCGCAGACACAGAAAGAAGCCATCGTTCGTATTCAGAATGTCATCAGGCAATCAGTCGTCAGATAAACCCTTGGCCACTGACAGTACAATAGTAGCAAATTGAGAATTGCAGAAGAAAATGGTGAAAATTGATCACAGAGGAACACTGAAAGGTTAAACATTTTAATATTTCAACTCTTTTTTATCTACTAGAAAGCTCCGAAGTGCGCGCTCAGCAGCAACGCCCTCTGCCGGATGACTGCAAGCAGAAGGGCGGGCCATTCAAAAACCCTCACCACCCTCACATGACGCAATTCCGGGGCAAGCGGACGGCGCACGCGCTGCGACGCCGGTCGGCCGGGGGTGGTGGCGGGGGGTGGGGAGGGTTTACGCCGGCGCGCGAGAGGTTGCATCAGTATCGCGCTACCCGAACGCCTTTCCTCTCAGTTTCAGAAATGATCCCGGCCAGGTACGTGTTCGCCGTGCTGGGCTCCATCGGCTTCGCCATCATCTACGGCCTCAAGGTGAACCTGAGCGTGGCCATCGTCGCCATGGTGAACCACACGGCGCTGCAGCAGCACCACGGCGGCGAGCACGTCGACGAGGTGGCCGCCGAGTCCGTCTCCAAGGGGGCCGCCAGTGGGCCGGCAGAGCCCGCGGTAAAGTCCAGCTCGGTCAAGTCCTATCGAGAAGGTCGCTTTGTCGCTCAGAGCGCTTCCATGATCTGAGTGTGTGTTGCGCCTCGCAGGGTGGCGTCCAGGGCGGCCAGGACGGCCAGGACGGCCCGTTCGCCTGGAGCGAGACGACGCAGGGCTACATCCTGGCGTCGTACTTCTGGGGCTACTTGCTGACGCAGATCCCGGGCGGGCGCATGGCCGAGCAGCTGAGCGCCAAGTGGGTGATGCTCGCCGCCGTGCTCGTCAACGCCGTCTGCACGCTGCTCACCCCGGCCGCCGCGGAGCTGCACGCGGGGGCGCTGCTGGCCATGCGCGTCGGCGAGGGCTTGGGCGCGGTGAGTACAGCCTAAGTACCTACCTGTTTACCCGTGTACCTGCGTGAGCAGGACCTCAGCACGGACCTCCTCAAATATTGCTTCTTGCAGGGACTGACCTTCCCCGCCATGCACGTCATGATCTCCAGGTGGGCTCCCCCCGACGAGCGCAGCGTCCTGTCCTCCGTCATCTACGCCGGTGAGTATGAGTGAGCCTATCATGCCGTTCATGCACTTTGTGTACTTCGGCTGGGTAGCGATTCCGAACAGGGCTCCATCGCTCGGCCTCTCTCTCTCACCCTTTCGGAATGGGTGCGAGAGAGAAAGTCGGAGGCGAAGTTCGGAATGGCTCTTCAGCGGCGTCTCGGTCCCTTAGGCACGGCGCTGGGCACGGTGGTGTCCATGCTGCTGGCCGGCGTGCTGGCCGCCACGCTGGGCTGGGCGTCCGTGTTCCACGTGATGGGGGCCTTGTCGCTGGTGTGGTGCGTGCTGTGGCTGGGCCTGGTGGCCGACTCCCCCGCGCTGCAGCGGCCTGCACTCATCACGCGCGCCGAGCGGGAGCTCATCGAGCAGGCCCTGGGGAAGCACAAGCAAGTGCGTCGCGAAGGTCGCGAGGTGCGTATACCGCCAACCATGGCCATCCCAGCTCCGTTCTCCGTTCCCCTGCGCGCCCGCGGAGTCGAGCATAGGCAACCCGCTCGTCCACTAGTGTACTGGAGGGAAGGCCGATTGCCTCGACGCCTCGACCTACCTCGACCGAGCTGAGCTAGTAGTGGACGCACACCGTATCCTGGATGGATTGTGGTGCTTCTCTGTTCGCTCAACCATGATGTATTACTTTTCAAAAAATTTCAGGCTTCTCCTGTCCCGTGGCGAAATGTTTGGAAATCTGGGCCGTTCTGGGCCATTCTGGTGTCTCATGTTTGCAGTAATTTTGGATGGTATATGCTTCTGATTGAGCTGCCAACTTACATGAGGCATATTCTACACTTTAGCATAAAGGAGGTAAAACTATTCAATTTGCTGGTTAAGGAAATACGTATTATTGCCATCGTAATTTCGTTCAATCAACTCCTAAATATTATTTTTTTTGTTACTTTTTAGAATGCTGGTTTGTCTGCCCTGCCCTTCCTCTTGATGTGGCTCTTCAGCATGTTTCTTGGACGACTTTGGGAGTGGTGTCAGAAGCGGGGCTCATTGTCCACTTCATCTTCTAGAAAAATAAGCACCTTAATAGGTAAATTATTTTTCAAACTGTTTCCTGCCTCATGGGATTATTATCATGGTAAAAGAATGACGAAGATTCCTGGCAACATTTCATTGCAGCTTCATTAGTGCCAGCCCTGTGTCTTCTTGCTGTGTGTTTTGTGGGCTGTAACAAACCCATAGTGGTGATGCTGATGTCAGTGTCGGTAATGAGTGTTGGAGGCATGTTTTCTGGATTTTTATCCAACCACATAGATATTGCACCAAATTTTGCAGGTACCAGTTTAAATGTTATCAATTTATTATGGGTTTTAGTCTCTTTATTTATGTCTCTTAAACTACATTTATTTATTTTTAATCTAACTTTACCTCTAATATTCTACAGGTACATTGATGGCCATAACAAATACCTTTGCAACCATTCCTGGATTTATTGTACCTATCTTTGTAGGACAAGTTACTCACGGAAATGTAGGTGACTCAACTCCATGAGACTTTTAGTGACTTTTTCAGATCTTTCTTTAAAGTAACCTGTTTTTTACACAGCAAACGATTGATGCTTGGCGTACTATATTCCTCACAACAGTTGGCTTGTTCATCTGTGAGGCAGTTGTGTATGTTCTCCTGGGGTCAGGTGATGAACAGGAATGGAATGATCCTAAAAGGAATGAAGAACCACTTCAAGAAGAAGATGAAATTGAAGCTGATGTCACAAAATAGCCATGATAAAAGGATAAGTCAGTCAAATGTTTTCTTTCCAGGTATTTATTCTTAAGTAAAATACAAATGGCATGTGCTGCAATAAATAATAGGAAATGTACGTATAGTTCGGACTGCTGCAAGAACTCTTAGTGTGTAGCAATTAAACTGAAGAGCATTAATGCAGCCTTGACCATTCAGTATTTTGTGGAGTATAATTAGTTAATAAATCCGTATTCACGACAAAAATAAACAAAGAAAGTAAAAGGCAGGCTTCTGGAGTTAACTGCAAGAAATTCAGGCAAACTTAAGCACAATTTCAAATATAACATAAGACGTTTGAATGCATCACAAGTATATGTCTGATAATTCAACATGTCGTTTTTGATTAAAAAAGCGATAACTATTTTAAGGCTCTAATATTGTGTAAAGGAATTACTTATCTGCTTCTCATGATGGTTAGAGGAGTGCGAAAGAATTAAAAACATCTACATTAATGACAATACCCAGTTACATATAAAAATATTTCATATAAAAAAATACAAAGACAAAGAGTAACTGCAATGAAAATTATATAATTAGTTTTACAGCAAGCTAGTTACACACGAGCTGGGTTCCTTCAATTAAAAATCTACAAATGGGAAAGCAACTGCACACTCATTCACCACTTCTTGGATGCCTATATCATGGGCAACACCTAGGTCTTGATGTATTATTTATAATAAAATTGGTAACATAAAATAAATAAGAAGGGCAACGCACAAACAAAACATAAACAAATGTAGTCCAGATATACGTAAAATGTGAAATGACAGTTCCTCAGAGTACTTATGAAATGTAACAAATTTGTTCAGTAGAGGTGAGACTGATGATAAACAACAAATAGCTATAGAACACTAGGCTTGGATAGGCAAATCACATCACTTTTCATGCTATTATCACACACACATAAAACTTGGACTAGATGAAAGAGAGAATTATTCACCACATTTAGGTCATATATTTTTAAAAACAAAGAATCAATCTCTAAAACATTTTTCGTTTAAAGAAGCATGACTCAATTTAAATGTGATGGGAAAAACATCTTGAGAAATCAAAAGTGAGACTGCCTCCAAAGGAGCCAGCCACTAAAACACTATCCAAGGCCCGAGCTTATCACAGCAATTACACTGAAAGGCAGAGCTTTCCGCAAGAATGTCTAATATGCTAAAATTATAAATTGAAAATTGCTAGATGCACTTGTTGGACTTCTTGTGTTTGAAGGAATACTGCGCTGGAGGTGCTGGGAAGTAGTTTAGTCCTCATCTTTGAACCGCCGGTAAATGGACTGGACGTAGGTGAAGACGCATTTCCAGTCAGGTCTCTTCATCATCACCATGTCTTCAACATCCAACAGCGGAGCAATATCTGCCCGTTCCCTAAAAAGACACACAAATATAAAATTTTGAAATGTTAACTTATCAAACACTGGGATGTCTAGAACATGTTCAGAGAACATATCCAGATTTATAAAATGGAGTTTACTTACTCAGCAACGCGGAAGGCTAGCTCAAAATTCTTGCGGCGCTGTGTTGGCACAAGGGCATCATAGTCAAAGGCATCCGGAATGAAGTGGTGAATGAGTGCGCAGAAAGCAAGCCCATCGCTCCAGCTGCCCGAGAAGTTGTCTATTTTAATATTCTGAAAAAGAAACGAAGAGAGTTATTTACTGACAGGAATACAGTAGAAAACAGTGCCCATGGTTGATAAAACAGCCGGATTGTTAAATATTTCCTGACCAATACAACACACAAACAGGTCTTCCCAATCATAGCATGCCACTAAAGACCGTCACCGGAGGGTCTCTACATGCTACAATATGCAATGTGCAAGCTTACAGTTACAGTATGCGAACAATTTCATGTGGATCATATAATGCAACAACAATAACAAAACCCATCATAATAAGCCATGCATATTATGCTAATGCAGGATGGTACCAAATTCACGGGTTAAATTGAGTGAAAAATGTACACCAATAAGTATATAAAGAGGGGAAGACTATAATGATAAACTAAACTAGTGACTTGCAAACATTACGGATTGGTGGGCTTCTTGACTTAAATTAACAATGGTTGATTGTTTCATAGTGAAAGAAAACCACTTTGTGCTGAAGCAGCTGCAATATCACACAACGTGTACACAAACTCTTGCACTGCGGTGGGTGAAGTGGTATGCAGGTCTCGAGACACTAGCAATGCAAGCACAATTTCACCACACTGAACAAGCACAACTCATTTGTACCTTGTAAGTCTTGGTCTTGCACTGACACCAGTACAGCAAGTTGTCCTTGACACTGGATGCAGACCGAGCCAACTTGGGATCGGTGAATTTAAATATGGGGCTGCCCGGAGCACCAGGTGTACTGGGTGTCTTAGGGGAGCTGCCGTAAAATGAAAATTCAATAGGCTCAGTTATATGACCTGCCTAATACCTTATGACTTCGAAGTGCTAGTCCTGAGTAAGGCCATAAGAAGCAACTCCTTGAGAAACAATAATCCACAACCTGCTGCTGAATGCACACACATTGCACCCAAGTCAAATGATAAAAAGGTAATTAAGAAATAAACATAGGTACAGGAACCGCCACAGGGTTAGCAGAGGTAAAGTGCTGTCCATATTAGAAGAACAACCAAAAAACCAACCCGAATAAAAAAATGCCTACATTTGTTCGTTAGTACAATAAGTAGAGATGATAAGTGTGGCTAGAGAATTTTAATTAATAAACAAACATATGTAATCCCCTGAGCATCATAGTCTAGGCTTCACATTTGACTATCAAGTTCAAATGCTCATCCACTCATGCATGTCTTCAGCCTAGAACCAAAAGTCTACTTCATGTGGATGAAGGAAGAATACTGGAAGAAATTACCTGGGAGCTGAAGCTGCTGAATTCTGACGATCCAGCTGCTGGAATTTGGCAAATGGGGAGATGGGCTTAGGGGGTCCACCTGTAAAAATGAAAGACAATTAGCATTTTCATACATGAAATTATTTTTCATTTTTGTCATAGAAAGCAAATAATGCAAGAGGAGATGACAAACCTTTGTTAGTAGCCATGCTGCTCGTTGAGCTGAAATGAGACGTCTTTGTCCTCACTGAAAAAATTAACAAATTATCAAATAACACCTCTTTATCATAAGTACAGTTTACTGCCAAGCTGTGTGTGATCATACCTTCTGTATGAGTTGTGCTATTGGCGTCAGTTGAGGTAGAACTTTTAAATGACTCGCTCTTTCCTGGAATAACAGAGAAAAACAATGCGGTCAATACCATGAGGAGGAAATGTTTAAAATTCAGAAGCAATTTGATTTTCTCTGTGCTCTTAAGTTAATCATATTTTAACAGTTGAAGATTTTTTAAAATTTTATTCTGAATTGACAAAATGAAGATCTTACACAAAACAACATAGAAAATCAAACCACCAAGAAATTTTTTGGGGAAATACATTGATAGACAATCACATGAATTTTGTTAAGGGGGCAATACACATATGTACACGGGAATAGAGAAAATAAGGATGAAGAAAACTGTGAAGGAAAACTAAACACAAGACCAAAGATTTTCACATAAAATCAACACACACACTCCACAAGCAGGAAGCATCCTACACCTGGCATCCATCCAAAAGAGAAACCAACAGTGTGACGCACTAACACCTTAAATTAAAACAGGGTAGGAACTGCTGGTGTGAGAACACAGGGAACCAAAAATAACATTGACATTGAAAATAAGAAGGAATAAAATTGGTGAGAGAGGGTGAGGCAATATCAACCATATTTCAGAGTTAAAGAAAGGGGACATCACACTTAAAATAAATAGGTAAAAAGAATAATTGGATGCATTGAATGAAAGCTCATCATTAATTCCTACTACTGCTAAATAAGCAATATACAAGACAAAAAAGCCAAATTTCAACAATAGATGATACAATATCTGGTGATCAATATCAGGAGACATTAACACAGGTAAAACGAAATAAGAATTAAAGACTAAAACTAAACATTAAAATATTTTTCCAGCAGAAAAAAAAGAAGTTACAGTTGAAGGACAAAATTTGGTTCAGAGTTTTTTACATTCACATCTTGCATGACAATAAACCATGTATACTAGTCTAACAATACCATACATGTACTAAATCAATGATATTACAGATGGGTTCTAAAAATATATATCTAACAAATCACAGCAAATCATACTACAAAATAAATCCATGGGCCAAAATATGAAAGCTCATCTAAAATGCATGAATGCTGTTACGCAATCAAACTTATTAGCTAACAACTGGCAAGGCACAAACAAATCACAGCAGATTGGGGGGGCAGAAATCAGCTCACTTGCTGCACAAGCACACTGCTACTACACCACTTCTGCAGGATAGCAAGTCAATTAATAAATTATAGCGGCTAAGGGCAGGGCACAGGGCAGGGCAGCTAGGAGAGCAATGTTACTGGTTGGTTTGGGGCACACCATTAATCAAACTTCCAACAAGGGCAGAGAGTTTAACTCACAAGAAGAAGGTCCCGGAGGCAGGCAGCGCACAGATGCTTCCCCCATGGCGGATCAAGACGGACTCTGGGCTTCCCACTTCCAAGCTATCAAAACCTCCACGCCACAGCCAGTGCCAACACCAGCAACCGGCCTGGTCGAGCTGGCAGCCTGGCAGGGGCTAGCCAGCACAGCTTCTTGGCAGCGCACCACTATTCGGGGCGCGGGGCCACTTCGCACACAAAGGCCGCCCGACGGGGCAGCCAGGCAGCAGGCAGGCCCGCCAAAGTTGTCGCCTCACCCCTTTATGCCTTTACTTGTTCAACAGCAGATTTTGGTTAATTGCTCGCTATCAGTCTAATTAGGGATGGCCACTTTACGAGACCTAGTCAAGTGGTCCCCGCGGAACTAGTTGAGCAACCAAGATGTGACTACGATGCGACAGATCGCAGTGGGTGCGGTTAATCTCGTATTGGAAGCTTTCCAGAGAACAGAACAGTTTTTACAAACTCAAATTGAGTAGGACTGAACAATACATAATGTTACAAAAAATTGTGGAAGTTAATTGAAGCAAAAACATGTTTGACTGGTTTGCCTGTTAATTTCTACGAGTGTTCACAGTACTAAAAGTGGTGCAGCAGATCACGTTATTCCCTCCCAATAAAACAACACCTCACGACTCGGAATTAGTGATTCGGCCCGTGGCTTCTACTTACTGCCCCCCTGCACACTAGTCCTCGCAATGTAGCCGCCTGTAGCCACCTTGCCTTTCGACAGCCTTCTCCGGGAGGCGCCCTTGCCCTCGGCTGAGATCTGGCGCGACAAAGTCCTGCCGTCACTGCCCACGCTGGCCGCGAACAGGGACTCGAACGCTTCGTCCACGTTCTCGAGGTTGTCGTCTACGAGGAGCACCTCGACGGGCGTGAGGGGCTCGTAGGAGCTCTTCTTGCTCGAAGTGGACACAGAGAGCGACACGCTCTTCTTCGAGATCTGCTGCCTCATCCTGACGCTGCCGCCCTGCGGCGCGCGGTCGTCGTCCGCCTTCTTGAAGTACTTCTCGACCGTCTTCTGCTTGACCTGCAGCGCGTCGGGCTTGATGGCCGCCTCGAACTGCTTGGGGAAGGCCAGGCTGTGGCTGGACTTGGCCTTGGGCAGGGCGGGGGAGCGGTTGGGCGCGGTGGGCGGCAGGTCGGGGCCGTGCATGCTAAGTGGCCGCGGGGTGCGCGGGGCGGTGCCGGACGACGCGCGGCTCGCCCCCAGGCCCGTCTGCTGCGCGGCCAGCTGGTGCCAGGACTCAGACTTGCGCAGCACGTTGCCGGGGTTGGGCGACACGGACGGGCTGCGCTCCTCGCTCACGTACTCCTGCGCCTGGCTCTGCGTGTGCTGCACGTAGCGCTGAATCGTGTCCTGCACCTTGTTGACGGGGATCTGCAGCCGCGTCGTCACCACCGACTCGCCAGAGTCGTGCATCTCCTCCGTGCTTGTGATGAGCGAGTCAGCGGACGACGTCCTGCTGCGCGGGGGCACGGCCGCGGCGGGCCGGTTCACGGACCTGTCCGCGCCCCCGCGCGTCTCCGCATACTTCCTGGCGGCCTGCGTCCGCGCCTCTTGGTTCACGTCCACCGGCTTGGCCGCGCTGATGGGGATGCTGCCGGACCTGCCGGTCTTGGGGACGGGGCTGTGGGACCACTCGGAGCCGAAGGAACCGACGGGGCTCTGCGAGTGGTTCGAGTAGGGCGTGCCCGACGGAGTGCCGACCGGGGAAGGCCGAACGGACGTCATCGGGCTGCCGTTGCTGTGCTGGCTGTGTTGCAGTCGTGTCGCCTCCGCAATGGCGCTCTGGTTGGGCTCGCTGGCGTTGCGGTACCGCGAGCTGGACGGCGCCTTCAAGGCCTGCGGTTGATTCTGCCGCGGTGGTGGTTGCTGTTGCTTTTGCTGCTGATGCTGAGAGCCGCCAGACCTCGGCGTCGGGGAGGTCTCCTCCTCTGACGAGAATTTGTGTAGAACGGAAGTGAGGTTCAAAGCAGCCGTGCTAACGCCACCGCCACCGCTGCCTCCGTCGTCTTCGTAGCGGTGCCGCATCTTGTTGGACACAGTCACCGCCTTCTGGCACTGCGCGCCGCCCATGACCCTCGCCACGGCGGCAGAGTGCTCCTGGGCCTCGGGGGTGTTGGGCACGCTTTGTTGGACCGCGTACTGGCCAGCGTGCTGCGGCCTGGGGCTGGACGTCGTGCTGGCCGCGTCCTGCACCACGAGCCGCGGCGGCCTGGGGGGCGGGGGCTGCTCGTACGGGGGTGGCGTGGACGAGTACGAGTCCGGCGTGGACCTGGCCTGGAAGTGGCCGTGCTCGTCGTGCTGCGGGGTGGGCACGCCGAACACGGACTGGCGGACCGTGACACCGGCGCTGAACGTGGGGATGGGCGTGACGCTCTGGCTGGGCGACACGTAGCCGTCCGCGTTGCTGCGCAGCGTGCTCAGCACCAGCTTGTTGTCGGTGGGCGGCATGGGCGCGTCCTCGGGGTCCGAGTCGCACTGCCAGTCGTGCGGCGTGTGGGTGATGGTGGGCACGTACTGGTTCGACTTGCTGTGCACCAGGCCGTGGCCAAAGCCGGGCCGCGTGCTGAATTCGTGCGCGAACGCGCTGTGCGGCGGCAGCACGGGCGTGGGTGCGGGCGCTGAGGCCTGCTTGGCGGCGAAGGTCTGCGTGCGCGACTGCACGTGGCCGGTGGAGTGCGTGGGGATGAAGGCGCGCGGCGGGGGCTGCGGCGGCGCGGGCGTCCTGCCCATGGACATGCCCACCACGATGCGGTCCTGGCTCTGGCTGCGCATCACGGGCAGCAGCTGAGGCGACGTCTCGCGCGACGACATGGACTCGAACTTGGCCAGCGTGGACGTGAGGTGGTGGCCGTGGCCGAGGTCCTTCTTCCAGGGCAGAGTCGGCATGGTCGGGCTGATCGGAGAGGCCGAGGCCGCGGGTTCAGGTTCCGGGTGCGCGGGCAGAGAGAAGACGGTCCTGGCTTGCTGAGGGTGCGCGTGGGGGTGCTGCTGCTGGGGGTGCATCGGCTTCGGCGCGTGCACGGGGGCGGGGACGGGAGTAGGCAGCGGCGCGGGTTGTTCAAACTTCTTGGCGGCGAGCTGCTTGACGCTGCCGGTGGATGCCGGAGTACCCCAGGGCGCCGACGTCGTCGGCTTCTTCTCGATGGGCTTGAAGGCGGACATAGGCGCGTGGAAGAACTTGTTGACGGGGCCATGCGGTGCGGCCGCGTTGGCGTTGGCCGCCGGCCGGTTGGTGGGGACGGTGAGCGAGCCTACAACGACACCCTGCTCGTCTTGGTGGTCCGGGTCCGCCCACACCGGCCTGTGCTGCTGGCTGCGCTCCTGCTCGTGCAACTGCTTGAGGAAGGCGCTGCCCTGTTTGGTGAGCTTGGGCTCGGCGCTGCCGTTGCGCGCGCCCCTGCCGCGGCCGCGGCTCTTGAGCATGGCGGCCGAGTCATCCGCCGACTGCCAAAAGGAGCGCGCCCCAGACTGCTGGCTGCGCTCGTTGTTCAGTTTGTTGTGGTGCTGCTCCCTGGCCGTGTGGCTGGCGTTGTTCTCGAACGCCGTCTTGATGTTGGAGAAGCGGTTGTTCCACTGGTGCACCGCGCCGCCGCCGCCGAAGGGGCTGGCGCTGCCGTTGTGCTTGTCTTCGGCCCCGGACCACATGGAGCCACCGCTCTTCCTGCCCGAGTTGTGCTGCTCCAGGAAGGCGAGGAATTTGCGGTCGTTGTCCGTGCGGGGCTGCTGCGGCGAGGGCTCTCGCTGCGCGTCTGGAGTCACCCGGATCGGCCCGCGGAGCGCCAGGTACGCCGCCCGCTTGTCGGCCACGCCGCCGTCCTGGGCGGGGTGGAACACGTCGTCGCCGGAGGTGGCGTCCGTGTCCTCCTCCACCTCGTAGTAGTCGACGGGCTTGGGGATGTCGATCGTGTTGGCGCGCTTCATCTTCTGCTTCTTGTTGTTCCGGTTGGCGAAGCGCCCGGCGGTCTTGTCGTTGGTGGCCATCTTGAGCAGCCTCTGCGCCGACGAGACGGCAGACTCGTCACCCTGCAGCGTGTCCGAAGTGTCCGACGCGTTGGACTGAGTGTCGAGGGGGTCCAAGTCCCCGCCGGATCTAGGCACCTGCTGGTTTGTCCACGCTTTCTGCTGAGCCTTTGTCTGCTGCTGTTTGAATGAGGGCTTCACCTCTTGCTCCTGGCGAACCACCTTCTCTTCGACGTAGACGGGATTTTGCACCATAACTACTTGAGGCGTTGGAGCGGCGTTTTCTTTCTGCAGTTGCTGCTGCTTCGCCTCACTGTTTCTCCTCTGCACGCAGCCGATAATGCTCTCCGTCGGCTTGACGGTGAACGTCTGGTTCCTGATGACGCCTGGCGGCGGTTCCCTCGCGTCGCGGTCCTGGGCCGCCTTCACAGCCACGTGCTCCACGTCCTCGTCGACGTCGTAATAGTCTTCTTCCTCTTCAGTCTCTTCATCCGCCGACTCCGTCACCTCGCTCTCCTCATCCTCGCTCGTCTCGGAGCCTCCCTTCACGGCCTGGCCCGGCTTGCCCTCAACGGAGAGCTGCTTGTTGATGGCCGCCTTGTGCACTGCGATCTGCACGGACTGCGCGGGCGTGAACAGCTTCTTGCTGGGGTCGTAGTCCCTGCTGTCTGCCGCCACCACCACCACGTTGGCATTATCATCCAACACCCTCTTCGCGTCCGCCTTGTCGGTGGTTACGTCCTCGTCGTCGTCTTCCTCGACCTCGTCCTCGTCGTCGTCGTAGGACTGCGAGCCGATAGACGAGTACGACGAGTGGGGCGTCTTCTTGTTGGCGCGGCCGGCTGCCTTCCGCCCGACGCTGCTTTGCGAGGAGCTGTGACTGTGCTGCGCGCGGGCGTCGTCCTGCTCGGACTTCTCGGACTGGGCGAGCGAGGAGCCGGAGGCCGAGGCGGAGGCCGGCACGAACTTCTTGGGCATGAAGTGGGTGGGGCGGTAGGCGCGGAAAGTGGACGCGGCCGCGAAGGTGGGCACGTCGCCGGCCGAGCTCTGCTTCTGGAGGTGGTACGGCGACCGCGCGCGGGTGAGTGGCAGGGGTAGCGACACTAACAGCGGGGCGGGCAGAGCGGTGACGGCGGGGTCGTCGACGACGGACTCGGTGGTCCGGGGAGCTGGCTGTGGACTCGCGGCCTGCGCGACGGCCTGGGCGTCGTCGTGCTGCTGCTGCGCTCTGGCCTGTGCTTCCTCGAGGAAGCGGCGGGCGTCGGCGAGCTCCTCCTGACTCACGCCGACAGTGTGCCTGTTCTGGCGGTTTCGCTTCCCGAAGCGCCGCGGCGGCACTGCGGGGGCCTGGGGCTGCGGCTGCTGCGGTTGTGCCTGCGGTGACGGCGACGGCGCGCGCGTGCTCAGCGACGTCTTGAGGCGGTTCACGAGCTGCAGCAGCGACTCGCGCCGCGATTCCTCGACCTTCTCCCTGCCCACCACGCCGGACAGCAGGGAAGCCTCGAGCCGGGAGAGCGCCGACTGCACGTCGTCGAGGAGGCCGTCCTGGCCTTGTCCCTGGCCTAGTCCTTGGCCCGGGCCGGGGCCGTGCGGCTGGGTGGGCGCCGCGAGCTGCGCCGACGACTGCTGCCGGTGGAGTTCGATGGAGTCCCGGAGGCCGGCGGCAAGAAAGCGCAAGTCCTCCCCCGACTCGGTGCCGGAGTCCTCGATGGTGTGCTGGCGCGCCTGCAGTCGCTGCTGCTGCTGTATCTGCTGCTGTTCTTGCTGCTGCTGCTGCTGTTGTTGCTGAAGGGACGACCGCAAGTGTTCCACGAGGTAGGGAAGCAGGAGGGACTCACCGTGCACAGAGGACGCCGACGAAGCAGTGTCCCCGTCAAGCGATCGGTTCTCGTCTCGGTGTGCCGCGGCCACGACGCCCTCGCAGGCTGCGAACACCAACCCAACCAAGGGCGTTACACCCACACTGCGCAGGGCCCCCTAGTCCCTACCCCTTCCCCGTCCAGAAGTCGCGCGCGCCCTCACGAAGGGCCTCACGGAGGGCCTGGCCCATCGCAGCGAAAGCCACACCACCAGTAAGTCGCCATTACCTTTCTGTTCAGCCATGACCGTGCGGAGGCGGGCCCGGATCTTGCGGCGGCCCTCGTAGTCCGAGCAGGCGTCCAGCTTTGCGTGCGGTACAGGGCAGGCAGAGCGGGGCGGGGCAGGCACAAACAACAAGCAAAACACAGTCAGCATCCACCATCGTCTCACCGTCTCCAAGCAACAACAACAACAACAAAAGTATCAGCGACGACAATTTCGTTTTCTTGGAGCGCGCGCCGGCTCCGACAACAGGTGTCAGCAGGCGCGGTCGCAAGCAAGCAGTCCGACTTTTCGGAGTAAATTTGGCAATACGCTTAGCGCCTCTCTCACTGAGCCGGCAGCCAGAGGGGGCGTGTATATATTAAAAGTTCACTGGTAAAACGAAGGCATTAGAAAAACTACGCCCTTTAGATCTTTCACGCCTGCTAAGAGCGTAATACGGTAATGCATGTACTTTCATGGTCTATAAGTATTGACATTGTCAAACACCTGTAAGCTATATAGAATTTGATACATAACTTACACCTGTAAGAAGCATCAATACTTACGAACCGAAAGCCCATAAGCATTTTGGGTGTCGAGTGGGAGGACCAATGGGCCAGTCCTAATGAATCTGAGTGTTGAAGCCCCAGAGAGAGAGAGAGAGAGAGATCCCCAGACCGCGTGGGCAGAAGGCACCTCGAGAACCGCGGCCAAAACGACTGCCAAAAAATAGGAAGCCCATTGCGTGCGCTGGCGTGCGATTAAGGTCTCGTCACTGTGTGCACCACCAGGTGTTTGGCCAAAATATTGAAAAAGAAAGAACAAAAATACAGTGAAATTATTGGGATGCAACAAAAGAAAAAACAAAGAAGAAAAAAAGTCAAGTCATAATCACAATCGGCATTCGGCTTTCTTTTAAAAAAATGGATGAGAAGTTCCTACATCATTGTTGAAGCAAGTGGTGTCAAAGTTCGGAACGTAAGGAAAAAGGAAAACAAAAATGCTTAGCGCTGCCATAAAATCAGGACAGATTCTCAAGAGACCATTAATGTTAACAGAATAACAAGATAAGTAAATGCGATTCCATCCCGAGACGACACGTCAGGCAGGCATGGCATTGGGAGGGTCGATGCTTACCAAAGTCCGTAAGTGACCTTCGTCCCAGATGGAGTCCAAGTCTGAGATGGGGTCCTTCGCCGCTCCGTTGATGACCTGCTGGGCAAAGGTCGGAAATTAGGGCGTGGACCGGAAAGGGCCGAGCGATTCCGGTCACTCGCCTCTCCGGAGCGCACCTCTGGCACCTCTGGCCGTGACCATCGCCGAGCCTTGCGCCGTGCCGCCCGCTGGCTTCAAGCTTCGAGTCGGCGGCGTGCGTTCCGCTTTCTGCGTGCATCTCGCCGCCGGCCGCGGTCCGCGAACACGCACGCACCGGCTGGGCGACTCCGAAGAGGCGCTTCCTCGCCGTCTCGTCTCTCTCGCACACCAACGAGCCGCGCCGCCGTGCCGGCGCGCCTCGAGAGCGACAGAGACACGACGAAGAAACGCCTCCTCGGAATGAGTCTGCTGTGCGCTTTGTCACACTGCAACGCACTGCACGCGCCGCGCGGGGAAAGACGCGTCGCGGAGCAAAGAGGGCGACACGAAGCACAGAGGCTGCTTCCGAAACGGTGCTTCATCACCCCGTCTCTCTCACACTCACGGTGAGTCCTGTGGGTGTGCGAGAGAGAAAGCAACAAAGCACCGTTTCGGAATCCTGCCCCCAATGGTCCTGCTGTGAAGGCGCAAAGCTGCATGTCCCTGATTCCATCGTCTCCGCCCCATAGTACTTCCTCGACCACGTGGCGCCGCGGAGGCCGCGGAGCGAGGCGCGGCGTCTGCACTTCAAAAATAGAATAGAACCGCATCGGTTCCCTTTATTCGTCCGCGCGTCCGCGTCTCGGTGGAGAACCGAGAACCGCGGTGCGCACCCGGAGCAGGGCGGGTTCAATCAGAGTAAGACGCCCAGCCCAGCCAGCCAGCGGGGCGCACCGCAGCGCGCCATTGTCCTAGGCGCAGCGGCCCGACTCGCCTCACCTACATCAAGTCCGGGACCGTGATAACCTTTATGCTCCCGGACCGCCACCACCTTCAACAAAGCCGTGGCCGAGTCCGGGGCGTGTCGGGCCTGCCGCCCACGCCACGAGGCCGCACCGACGGGCGTCGACGGGCGCCGCACGCCGCGGGGGAAGGCCTCGGCATCCCCGCTCGGGCCTTCGGGGCCTTCGGCTCGGCGATCGGACCGCGGCTCGGCTCGGCTCGCCGAAGGCGAGGCCCATGGGCGGGCGGACCAAGTTGGGAGGTGCGCGGTGAGGCCTTCCCCCCGCCGCACCCCCACGCCACGCCACGCCGCGCCACGCCGCGTCCCCCTGGCTAAATACAGCACAGCATGGGCTGCACGGTGCGTCGTGCTCACCGTGCTCGCCGGCCTCTCGGTGCCGCCCCGCCAGCGTGCGCCAAGCCCTCGCTGCCAGGCCGCCAGCTCGCAGTGTAGCGGCTGCGTCTCGGCCGCCGCGCCCTGCGCCCTGCAGCTCCCCGGCAAGGCCGTCCTAGAGGCCGTCCTAGGGGCCGTCCTAGGGGCTGTCTTACCGGCCGCACCTGACACCGACGAGGAGAGCTCAATCCCACCCACTCAATGTCGGCGACTGAAGACCCCCCGAGGACACGCCAGGGGATTGTTCCGGACGTCCCTTAACAAAACTCAGCGCTGGCAGCAGAGAGTAATCTGACTGACACCGAACCAGAAACTCCACTCCACTCCTCTTCCCGAAGCTCGCGGGCAGTAGACGTGCGCTAGTCTTGAGTACACTTGAGCCCCCTTCTGGCCGCAAGCTGGCTCTCGCCTTGAGAGGAGGGGGTGGGGCTCTGGTGCTTGTCGCGCCGCACCGCGGCATGGCAGGGAAGTGCCGGCCGCTGTCCTCTGTCAACAGTCGTCACGGCGACGTCGTGCAGCATTCACAAGGGCAGCAGGTGACCCAGGTGACCCCACGAACGCCCTGCCTCGACGGCGCCTCCCTAACCGAGCCAGGCTTTCCCGTCGCGGAGCCCCTATAACCTGCAGGCAGACTCTGCGCGGAGTCGGTATACGACCAATTGTGATCTAGCCCCTCAGGTCAAGTCAAAGGAGGCTGTCAACACAGGCAACCCGGCGTGCATGTGCGGCGTGCGGCCACCGCCACTTCCTCGGCCTCTCCTTGCCCCACTCGGACAGCACGCCAAACGTCGCCGGCAAGGCTGGACCGGCGACAGCGACTACCTTACGACCAACCCAGTGGGCTCGGTGCTGCAGACTGATTTCGAGAATCGTTTTCGTCGTTGTCTCTCCCGCACGCATAGGGCATCCCGTGTAGGTGAGAGAGAGACAGAGCGGCTCTCGGCATCAGTGTGCTGGCCGGCGGCGGGGCGAGGGGTGGCGGCGTGCAACGCGCACGGGCCGCGCGGCCGGGCACGGGTCCACGCGCTTTACGTCAATGCGCCGCTTGCCAGACGCTTCGGCACGACGACGACGTGTCCATCGCGAAGCTGGCGAAGCGCACCACCGTCGCGGTGTAGGCCAAGCCGTTGACGACGATGGCGCCGTTCTTGGCGGCGGCGAGCGCCCCGAGCGCCCCGCCACCGCGCGATCTTGCAGGAAAGTGGACCGGGAGTCCGCTCCTTTCCGTCGGTATGCACTGTCTGCGTGACGCACACCGCGAATTAAAGGCAAATAAGAGACGGCCCGGCAGGGAGCCCACGCGGGGACGGAGGCGGGGCAGAGGGGGCTCTTGGCGAGCAGAGGACATCCTAACGCCAGTTTCGACGCCAGTCCCACGCGCTGAGTCAGCTGCACAACGCCGCTTATTCACGCCGCGATAAAAGACACCCCTCTCCACGGCACTGCGTTGCACTGCGTTGCAGGCCGTGGCCGATCCGAGTCACCCCCATGGAATTGCACACAGCGCTACACTACAAAGGGCGCATGACGTGGCCCGGGCCAAAAGCGCCCCGCCGCAGAGCAGGGCTGAACCGCGAACCATTCTTCAACTTTGACGCACACCACTTGCTCACCACCGCGGCCTCCAAACACACACGCACGTGTCTTCTCGACTCACTTCCAGAAATCAGCCACCACTCCGCTGAGAGCTTACGGGCCCGGCTCTCGACTTATCCGGACTACACTCGACGTCGCGGATTCGAGTTCGGCACGACCGACGGAGAGGTAGGGGAGGACGGGGTGCGGCTGCGGCGGTTGGGCCGCCTGTTCAGCACGGTGCTGGTGTGGGACTGAGGCCCAGCGGAACGCCACGCCGCGGAGCCGCGGCCAAGCGCGAACCACGGCGCAGCGCGCAGCCAAGCGCCACCGCCGCCGCCGCAGCAGGTCCGCGCCCAGTGGATGCAAGAAGGAAGGGGCACATCACATCCACACGTCACCATCCGCCCGGCCGGGTTGGCCGGGTCATCCCTCAGCATCAAGCAGGGCCAAAAACCGAAGGCAGCACGGGGCCGTCCATTGGAACGACCTTGCGAGGCTCGCGATACGCCAACCTGGAAATAGGGGTGCCACCAGGCGGCAGTGGCCTGGACATACCAGACAAGAGGCGTCAATATAGAGGTGCCACACGGCGGCAATGGCTTCATTCTCGGCAGGCCATTATAATACGGCAAACGCGTCCCCAGAGGGGTTGCCGACCCCGATCGCTATTTCAGATGCAGATGCCGGGGATGCAGCGAGCCAGGCAGCCAGGCACAGCGCGTGGCGGGGAAGCGCATCCCGAATCTCATGCGACTCGCACCCCGCCGCGCCGTAGCGTGCCGCACCTGGGCGCCGACATCGCAGGCCAGACCAACGCACTGCGGCAACGCGGCGTTAAGGGCGCCAACGAGGGCGACGCCTCTCGGCCGCTCATATTTTAAACGCACGCGGTCTTGGCGCAAGGCCGCGGGCCGGGCTGGGCCGCGCGATGCACTCGTCACTTTCGCAGCGACGACGGACCGCCACTGGACGACAACGACGGCCACCTCCCGATGGCGCCGTCAGCACGCCGCTGGCCGGCCGGCGCGCACTTCCGCGTCAATTGATTCTGCACCACTTCATAATTGGCCTCATTACGGCCGCGGCGCGCATCGCGGCCGGCCGTTCCTCCCCGACGCGGTGCTCTGGCCGCGCAGCGCGCGCAGCCCATGACGGCGAGGGCGTGGCGGCGCGCGGCGCAAACGACCTGGGCGTTGCAGGCCGCACCGGGCGGCGGCGGGCGGCAAAACGCGGGGAGACAATGAAGGCCCTGTCCCCGGCCGCGTCCGGGACAGGCCGGTCAGTGAGGTAAACAAATGACCGGGAGGAAATGGAAAACGCAGAGGGCGTCCACCGGGCCCAGGCCGCACGGCTCCACCCATGGGTGCACGGCTCCCTGCTCCCTCACGTCCCGCCCGGGGCAGGGGCATGACGGGCATGACGTCGACGCGGGTTTGGCGGCATTGGCAGTCCCCGGGACTCGACCCTCGCGATTAGCATCGGGACGACATTAGCGACGTGCCGACTCCGACCCCCGCCCGCACGCCTTTTTCGGGGAACCATCGTGCTCTGCCAGGCAGGAGCTCGCGGGACAGGGACAGACGCTCTACGCCAAACTCGCTCAACTTCCGCCGCCATGCCACCGTATTGCCGGACACGGCCAGCAGCAGTCCGGGCCGTGAGTGTGTGCGTGCATGTGTGTTTTAGGCACACAGCGACCAGCGCCGCTTCCTAGAATACTCCGCGCATGTTTAGCGCACAGAGCCCCTCCCTCCCCTTCCGAGCCGCGAACGCCGCGAACTACTAGGAGACCCGAGTCGTAACGGACCAACAGCTGACTCGTCTCTCTCTGCGGAGCGAGAGCGGGCGGACGCAGGAGGGGGCGGGGATGCGCGCGGCGTACACTGGTTTCATGGTCAGGCCGGCGACGGGACGCGCCAGTGTCGAATGAAGAAGAGGAAAAAACGTGTAAAAATAGGATCGAAAACGACCGCCAGGCCGACAGCAGACCTTTCCGCACCGCGCGCTAAGTGGACTCGCCTCGCCCTCGCCTCGGACCATTCACGACGACCGCACCCGAGGACGGCCACGCTGGGCCACGCACCCCACTGCAAGACAGGCGCACGGTACACTGCACGGCGGGGCGCGGCCCGTCCGTCCAAATTCACAGTTTAAAATAAATGCGCGCGACGGCGGCCAGGCAGTGGTGGAGTGGGCGTCGCACTGTCGCTCCGTCACGCCCCGCCAGTCGACCGGCCGTAGGGACGCGGTGCGTCGGCGGCAACGCGGCCACACGCACGCCGCCGGCCACGTCCTCAAGGCCGGCGGCGAGGTAACGACCAAATAAGTGTCATGTCCGGACGGTGTCACCCCATCGCCGCTGTGCCGCCCACTACACCGCGAGGCAGCCTTCAGCCTTCGGGGGGTGGTGGGGTGGGGATACCCGGGGGCCGGCCGCCAGACACGCCTGCGTTCACGTTGCCTGCCCTCCCACTTAGCGCCTGCGAGGTAGGCCATCAGTCCGTCCCGCAACGCACCGCTGTGGAGACGGTGGCCTACCTCGCCCCTGAGAAGACAGCAGGGGCGAGGTAGGCCGCCGTCTCCACAGCGGTGCGTTGCGGGACGGACTGAGGGCCTACCTCGCAGGCGCTACAGGTCCCGTCCCGCAGGGTAAGAGAGAAACAAAACGACACTGCCTTGTATGCGGCATTGCTGGGTCCTGTTCGTGTGCGCGAGAGCCAGAGCGACGAAAACATCTCTGAATCGGTCTGGTGCGGGCGGAAGGAAGGCCCCGCCGCATCCCCATACCGCCAGTGCGGCAGTGCGCGCGTGTACCAGTGTACCGGCCGCGCAATGTGGACATGAACAGGGGGTGGGGGAGGCCCCAGTGTCGCTGCCGCATTCCGCGAGGCGTGCACTGCCAAACGAGCTGGCTGTCCAAAACAGCAGTAAACGCGCACTCACACACGGAGCGCGCGACAAAGAGCAGCGTACCGTCCTTACCCCGAGACGCGGTGAACCTTCAAGGCAACGCGGCCAGCGGCGAGCCGAGCACTCCAAATTGCCATCTGTCGCTCTCTTACTCGGCGCGGCGCAACGTTGGAGCGACAGAGAGAGAGCGACGAAACACGTCTTCGAAATCGGCCTGCAGCACGCGCCAAAAGCCTTCCTCCGCCAGCCAGTCACATTGCCGCTTTTCGGGGAAGGCGAGGAAGGTCGTCGCGGCGTCCTCGTCCTCCCCGTGGTCGGTCGCTGCTGGCGGCTCACGGTTCGCGGCCCGCCCTGTCATTCACCTTCCTTTCTCTCCTTGCCTGCCTGCCGCTCCGCCCCACCGCGGGATTCATCGCACCCCGGCCCAGGAACCGGCGGCTATTTCTGCGCTTCCCTGCAGCGGGGCGCGACGGGCCTTTATCCGAGAAAAACTGCTTTCACAACAAGTCAATGACTGCGACTGGCCGCGGCCCGCGGGAAGGGATCACTGTACGCGGTGTGCAGGCGAGGTCCGCGCCACCGGTGCAGGGACAGCAGAGTCCGCTGGGCAGGGTGAAGGACCCTGTCAAGCAGGCGGGCAGGCATAGAGTGCTGCAGGACTCGAGCGTCCGAGGGTGCGACTGAGGAAGCAGTTCGCCAAGCCCAGGGCATTTCCTCCCCAGACGCCGTGCACGCGCCACCAGACTAGTCGCTATCTCTCTCGCGCCTGTGGAACGCCCCATGAGTGCGGATGGGAACCGACGTGGTTCGACCGCGACCAGGACCATCACGGCCAGCGCGGGGCCCACAGGGCCCACAGGGTGCGGCGCGGAAGCGGAGGCGCTGCATCAACACAAACAGAGCCGACCGGTCCGGCCATGTGTGCCGGCTGCTCGCTGTACTGCGCATGCTGCGTCGCGGCGGCCAGTAGACTGATTCCGAGAGTCGTTTTCGTCGCAGTCTCTCTCTCACACTCGTGGACGCTTCGTATAGGTGCGAGAGAGACAGAACGACGAAAGCGACTCTCGGAATCAGTCTGCAGGCTATTGCGAGGCTGGCCGGGAGGGGCACCCAGCTTGCCCAGCATCAAAGCGCGAGTAGGCCGCGGCGGGCCGGCCAGTAGCGCCATTCCGCACACTGTTTTGGCACTGTCTCCCTCGCACCCCAACGGCACACATCGTGAGAGCGAGAGAGGCAGAGCGACGAACTCACTGTCCGGAATCAGCCGGGAGAGGCTGGGCTGGGATCACACGCCGCGGCGTGCTAACTGCCCCCATGGGGACGCACTGCGCCAGCAAGGCGCCTGAACGCCGGCGAGCACGAGGAGGGGGCGCCAGCAGAGCGACTCCCACTCTCCCCCTCTCTCGTCGGCCTGCAGGCTGCAGGGAAGTCCGAACGGCAGGCGTCGAATGGGTGGCCTACCCCACGGCGCTTCGTGGCTGCGTTTCTCACCTTGGCGCCGCTAAGCCGCTGCCGCTCCACCTGGCTGACGAGCGCGGCCGAGGTGGTGCCGCCACCGCCAACGATGGTGCGCCGGGCGCTGCTGGTGGAGGTCGACGAGGCGGCCGTGTGCTTGTCGCCGACGAGGGGCTCCATGCCCTGCAGGATCACAGACGCGCCTAGGAACTTGTTGAGTAGCGACCGGGCCGCTTGGTCCTCCGCGCTGTCCCCGTTCTCCACCACTGTAACACGGAGACATCGTAGTATTTCATGAAGTTCTCGAAGAAAATAAGTAATTTGAAACATCGACCCCCTCGCCTTTGCACTGACGGCGCAGCAATTACCAATGTCGGCGTTGCGCATCCTGGTGAGGACGTCCTGGACGTCGGTCACGGCGGTGCGGTCGTTGAGGAAGGACCTGGACTCGGTGGCGGTGCTGCCCGGCGTGGACGGCAGGGGCGACGCCACCGGGGAGCCGACGCGCACCTCCATGGAGGCCGACTGCTTGAGGGTCGGGTTCGGACCTGGGGAAGCGAGGCACTTCAGTACAGCCGTCCTTATAAGTCGGTTGGAGAGTAAGGCTCACCGCTGGTCAGAGAATATGTTAGATCTCCACAACAAACATCCACGAGTTTAACTTTCAAGTGATGAATTTAATGAGGAGAGACCCAGGCCCCCGTACGTACCCGCTTCCGGCGTGGACGGCGCACTCGGCTGGTTTGGCGAGGTCGGGGTGGCAGGCGCCGAGCCTTCTCCACTGTTTGAGCGGAAGCTGGCTGAGCGGAAGATTAGCCCCGCCTTGGGGTAAGAGCGGTTTGATCGGGTGCTGTCAGCGCTCTCGGCTACCGGGTTAAAAGGTTAACATTCCAAAGTTACTGATTAGCAATCGACAACTTTCGGGTTAGCTTCTGCGAGAGAACAAGCGACATGACTGATCGTTTAATGGACCCAGACTAAGCTACGCCTATGGAGTAATGATTCGAGAAAACAATTTACGTCGGTTCATCGGGGTTATGATCTGGCGCTTTAGTTCCAAAAACAAAACATTTCAAAAGCCATCGTGTGAGAATGATGATCAGGGGACTAAACGTTAGATGAAAGTGTTACCGAGATAAGTGGAAATAACAGAGGCGAAAAATAGAACGAGAACATATTGAATAAAATAAAATGGCGTTGTAATGAAACTAGCTTAAGATGCTCAAACTTCAACAGCAGAGTTAAACAGAGATAAATTTAATAGCTGCAATCTTAAAGAATGGCCAAAGATAGCATTAACAGTTACAGAAGCTATTAATTTATGTATACTGAAGATATTGTTTTATGTCTAATTTTGAGGATCCCACAAAGAACCTGCAAATAATTAATGAACGACGTCTGAGCAGGTTGACGAAAATTTGAAAAGGGAAAGGAATCTTTATTTCCACTTCATTCAAAAAATGTGCTTTGGGTACAACGCCACTCCACTCGAAAAAAAAAACAGACGCACAGGTGTTTCAAAACAAGAAGGAATCACAGGAGTACCCACAAACCACACTACATGAATTGACGAGACATAGTCAATGTAGTTACCTGCTGCCTTCTGGAACTTCTCCTGCAGAGCTCGCACCGAGCCCCGCTGCGAGGTCCTGATCAAGCTGCAGGCGCTGGACCCTTCTTCGGCCACGTCCTCAGCGGCAGAGGACCGTCGTCGTTCGAGATTGGAAGAGCTACTGGTTCGAGAGGTCGAAGTGCGCGACGAGAACCGATTCGAGGATTTCGATTCCGTGGTGCTGCCCGAAGACCATTTATCACTCGTTTGCTTTTTCGCTGAATCTCTGCTGGGAGATTTCTCATTTCGTGTGGGGGATGAACTGTGGCTAGAGGTAGTGCTCCTATGAAGAGGGACAGGCAACATCAAGATTACGTGAGGCACCGCGATAAGTAACCGCTAAAGAGCAGGGCTGTCTAGGTGACTCACTTGGTGGAGACGGACGTCGACTCAGACGTGACCCCGCCCGACGCGCGGCGCTCCTTCGTGGTCGTGGTGGTGGAGTGGGTGGTGGCACCGCCCTCAGTCTTCTTGCTGGTCACCGTGTTGGACCATCGGCCGGACCCCTGCCTGGCCACCTTGTCGGCAGCGCGGCTGTCCGCCTCGTCGCCGTTGGGGGCCGCCTGGGCGGAGTGGCCTTTCTCCTGCCGGATGAACTCATCCTGGCCGGACGTTCTGCGGTAGGAGCTGCTAAATTTGTTGTCCTCTTCAAAGTTTCGAGATGACCTGGGGCAAGGCAAACACAGACGTATTAGTGGAGGCGCGTTGCACGGCGACAACTAGTTTCGCGAGTGGAGCGAGAAGGGCGCAACTCGTAGGCAGTAGTATTACGCACCTCTTGGAGCTTTGAGCGGACTCGATGAGGACGCGGTCGGGCGACGGTGAACTCCTCCTGCTTCCACGAACCTCCTCTTCCTCGCTGTCAAGCTGGGTGATTGACAGGGTCCTCGGTTCAGGAGATTCATAAGCATAGTGTTCACGGGAGACGTTGGTGACGGGCTCCTGCCCGGACTTGGCGACAGTCTCGCCTGCGGACATAAACGAGACGGCGGTGAGCTCACGGCTCCGGGGTGGCGTCGTTCGGCGCGGCGCGCCACGCCAGGCCACGCCCCCACCTGGGCGGATGACGCCGCACAGCAGCAGCGCCGCGCCGAGCAGGACCACGGTGGACAGGAAGGTGCAGGTGAAGAGGGCGAGCAGCGAGAGCAGCGCCCAGGCCGAGGCGCGGGCCGACATGGAGGCCGACATGGACCACGGCGGAGGACGATCAGGATCAGGGAGACGAGGGCGGACGCGGTGCGGGGGAGGGGTGCGGAGGCGGACACTCATGGGGGGGAAGCACTCGACCGCGGCCATGGCGGGGCACCGGAGCCATGCCTCGGACAGGATGGGGACGGTCTTGGGGAGCACGCGGCGCTCCGCGGCGCGGTGCTTGGGACCCGGGGACGCCGCACGCACTGCCCGGCGCTGTCGGCCCGTCGGCAGGACAGGGCGGGGTCCAAGCCCAGCAGGGTCCATCGAGCCTCTCTGCGGCCGGCAGGGCCGGCAGGGCGGGCCGAGGGGAAACTAAGCTAAAATGAAGCGACGTGGCTGGGAGGGTGCCAGGCTCCTTGGTGCCAGGCAGACTGCGGCTGCAGCCCCGCGCCGTGCTGCGACACGCGACACGGCCAGCAAGTGGCCGAGCTGCCGTCCACTAGACCGTCCACTGGGCGGCTAATCGCGTTGCCAGTGTGGATGCACCACTTGAGACCTTCCACTTCGGCGGCAAACATGGCGGCAGTACGGCGGACCGGGCGGACCCACACACAAGGCCCCACCTGCAGCGCCATTGCCATTCCCCCTAAGGCACTCTTAGAGCCTAATCCTGATGCACTCTAACTTTAGCCAGTAATGCCACAAGAAGACGCGCAAGACGCGGTCTATTTTCGCGCCGGGCGGCCGCAAGAGCCTGGGGTCCTTTAAACGCGCGCGCGTGCACGCACACTCACACACAAACCATTGAACGCGTCACTAGACCTCAAGCTTTCAGCACGGGGGGACTCACCCCTCCCCTTCCACACCCTTTCAGTCCCTTTGTTCGCGGCTCCGCGGCGACTAAAAACTCACCTCGGATGACGTCCCTGGTAAGAGAGACGGTGCCGTCGGGGGCCACGACCTGCCGCTGGCTGACGACGGTCGAGCGCGAGTACGACGAGGAGGTGCTCTCCTCCCTGGGCTTCTTCAGGATGCCGCGCCGCGAGTCGAGGAACGACTCTCCTGAAGGCAAAGAGGATCGTCAGCGTGCTTGGAGGCAACGCAACAGCCCCACGCCCTGCCCGAGCTGCTTACGGGAAAGGTCCTCGTGGCGCTGCACCAGGTCACGCAGCGGCGGCGAGGCGGGGCCGGCGTGGCCGTTCAGGCCGTTCCGGTGGTCCACCGTGCTCGACGTGGTGGTGGAGCTCGTGGTGCTGTTCATCTTGAGCGCGCGCAGGCCGCCGAAGAGCGGCAGGCCGGTGGAGTCGGTGATGTCCGCAGCGCGCGGTCTCGTCGACGCGGCGGTCGTCGCCTGCTTCGGGGCCTCGGCGGTGGGCTCGGCGTCTGCGGGCAGCGGGAGGGCCGGCGTTACGTACACCGCGAGAACAACCACACCGCTAAATTGGCCGGTTGAAATCACAGACAAATTAGAATCGAGGGTTCAGTTACTCACCCTGCAGCGTACGGTTCGTGTTGGTGCGGCGCAGGGCCTTGAGGCCGAACAGCGGCCTGCCCCTGTCGTCCGTGGGGCCCACGCCGTAGCTCGACGTGATGGAGTCTGTCGGGCAGGCCTCCCTGGCCGACTCACGGCCCGCCAGGCGCCCTGCAACGGCAAGGGAAACAACATCAGCACGCGGCAGGGCGGAGGCGAGCGCCCGCGATGCAGGCAACCCAAACGGCAGGCCTGCGCGTCGGGCGGGGCGTGCCGCGAGGCAAGGCGGCGGCCGTGCGCCACGCCTGGCCACGTCGCTAAACGTGCAACACTCCGCCAAACAGACAGGGGGCTGGCCGACGGGCTCGGCGCGAAGCGCAAACACGGCGCATGGAGCCAGCCGTGAATCTTGGGACGAAGCTCGTCAGAGCGACACGCGCGCGATAAACGCACCACTGCCAAGCCGGCCCAACAGTTATTGACGATGCACCGGAATGTGCACTCGGCGGGGCGGGGCGGTTTGACCCTCAGGTAAGGCCGCGCCAGACGGGCCGGGCCGCACGACGGGCCCAAGTGCTTTGATTCCATACTTTCCCAGACAGGTTTTGTACTCTTTTTTGCCGCGTTTCCGTGCGAACAGTCCCACGCGGTGCCGGCTGTACCGGATTGCACGACAGGTCTGCGGCGCGGAGCCAGAGCCGCGCGGCGCGAAGCTACGCGAAGCGGCCCGGTGCCGTGTGGGTCTCCGAGTGCATTCCGTCGGCGGGGCGTCCGGCCGGCACGCATCGCCTTCCGGGCCCCCAATTTCTTCTGCATATTTTAGGCAGCGCGCTTCACACGCCGCGGCTCAAACTGCCTGCCGTTTTCGGCGAGCTTGGCCGCTCCCGCCGCGGCCATCCGTCCCACGGCGGTCACGCTGCAGGCCGCGGCAGGCCGCGCCGAGGGTAATCATCCGGGTAATGATTATGATGTAGTATGCATACGTCCCGCAGGGCCGGCGGGGCCGGCGGGGCCGCGGCTCTGGCGCAGAGCGAGTGACTGACTGCGCGCGCGGAGCAAGCGGAGCACCGCCCCCGACCGCCTCTTACCGCACCGCGCACCGCGCTCGCCTCCCTGCTCGCCGTGACCCCGACGGACGTCCCGACGTCCCGTCCGTCCGACAGGACCCTGCAGCAGACTCATTCCGAGAGTCTCTCTATCTCTCGCACTCATGGGGCGCCCCGTATAGGTGCGAGAGACAGCGACGAAAACGAGCGCGATGGCCACGGCTAATGGCTAGTGCCAGCCGCGGCCAGCCGGCAGTGCAACATGCTGCACAGGTTGACCGCAACCTGGAGTCCGCCACTGGCCACTGTCTCTCTCGCTCCTCTATGAGGGAGAGACGGAGCGACGTAAGCACTGCACGACTGCCGGTGCCGGCGCTCCGTGGCCGCCACACCGTGAATCACATAGTTCAGTGCCCCACCTGGTGCAGCCATCGGCCGCGAGGTGGCGCCACCCTCGGCCCTCGGCACGCGTGTCAACGCGTCCAACTTCGTCGCCGCACGCAGCCGCCTCACAATGCACTTTCTCACCGTGCAAAAGTCACGCCGCCGCGCTCAGCGCCACTTCCGATACAGTGCCCGTCCCAATGGCGCGAGTGCATTCCAGCCGCGTGAGAGTGTGTGCGTGCGCGCCGCGTATGTGTGTGTGTGTGCGTGCGGGAGGTCTTCCTGCAGGGACACGCGTTCCGAAAAGAGAATGGGATGAGAGAGACACCAGCGGCGGTCCAGGACATTCAAGCAAGACCGGTCCTCCGGCAGGCGGGCGGGCTGAGGGCGGGCGGGGGCCTCCAGGCGGACCAGCCTTGTTTCAGGGCGTTCCAGGCAATGTGACAGGAGGGCCGACCCCAGGCAACAATGGGTGCAAGTCCCGGGGGACCCGGCGGCCGGTTCGGGGAGTGGCGGTGCCAGGCGGTGCCCTGAATGCGAGTGTTGCGGGTGCCCGCCGCTTTGGGTGTGGACGTGTGTCCCCCAGCAAGCATCGAATGCCCGTCCCGTCCTATCGCAGCGCGTCGCCAGGTCGCCACAAGAATGAAGCCATTGGGACGCCGGCCAACTCCCACCGCCGCACTGCACTCCATCATGGCGCCAACGAGGGCCGCGCCCCGCACCGCCAGCACCGCCAGCACCGCCCGGCCGACGCACCTGGACGCACCCCGCGGCCCTTTGGCTGCCCGATTCCGGAGAGCGAGTCCGTCTCTCTCGCACCCTCCCCGGAGCACCCCGCGAGTGCGAGAGGGACGGAGCGAGCCCGGAACCAAGCCCGCTGTGACTTACGCCTCGTAAACTAGGCATCCTCGGCGCGCATAAACTGCAGGCCGAGTTGTTCCTAATAACAGCCTCCGATTCGCCGGCCGGCCGGGCCTTCCTTTGGCCGGGCCTCCGGGCCACGCGTCCACGCCTCGCCGTACCGAGAGGTAATTACATAAGGCGACTTGGTTCAAGGCCGCGGCGCACTTTCACACGGGCCGAGCACGCCGGCCGAGCGGCACCGCCCGGTCATACATAGTTTTCGACTTACGGCTGCCCCGCTCGCTCCGCTCGACCAAGAATAATAATAAGCGGGCGGCGCTGCGCTCCGTGCCGCACGGAATGCACCGACGACAGTGGCCGGAAGGCCGGACGGGCGGACACCGCGTCAGCCAAACTCGGCGTACAGAGAACAGATAAGCGGCCGGGAGGAAAAAATCCGTGCAGGTCCGCGCGTCTCCCCGGCGATAAGGCGCTAAAACCTGCAAGCCTGCAGCCGCCGTTTTTCCGCGTCGCGACGCCCTATCAGTTTACGAGACGCCCCGACTGCCGTCCGACTGCCGTCCGACTGCCGTCCGGCATGCCGCCATGCACACGACACGTACGCCGCACGCCGTGTCGGCCTCTTCCACGAATTTGGTTCAACCTCGCCGCCATGCCCGCTGCAATCACCACGCAGCTCGACGAAACAACGCGGCCTGTGACGTCACGGGCCGCGCCGCTGCGTCATCCGGAGCAAGACGGCGCCGTCCCGGCCGTCACTCCGGAAGGGAAACTGGTTCCGCGCAGGGGTGGGCTAGGTTGTCCGCGAGGCGTCGGGGGGTCGCGACCTCCCCGTCGGCCGGGATTCGAACGCGGGGCGGCTAGGGCGCCCATAAGGCCCCGGGCGGCGGCGTCTAAGGTGTCCACGAGGTCCCGGGGAGGGGGGGGGGGAGCGTGACCTCCCCCCGCCGCGACGCGAACCCGCGGCCGATCCATCACGCCGCGGGCCCCGGGCCCCCGGCCCTGTGGGACGGTAACACGAGCCCTCGCATACCGCTCGAGGACCTCGTCGAGGACCTCGTCGAGGACTTGCACGGCGGGCCTGGCTATTCATTCCAATCCAGGAACAAGTAGGGCGTCGTCGTGCACCGCGTGCTGCCTGGTGCTGCCGCGCACACAGAGGCGGCGGAGGCGCGCCGCGGCGCCGCGGCCAACGGGGACAGACCAACGGGCTGCGCTGCGGGCCGGGTCACACTAGCTGCCCGCGTCCCGACGAGGCCGCCGTGGAGGCCGTGTTGCACGTTACGCTCCACGCTGCGGGGTGCCACCCCTCGCGGGGAAAACAAGACGGCGGCGGCGCGGCGGGGCCTCGACTCTCGGTTCGGCCCGTGTCACAAACGACATATCCACGGGCACGGCCAAGGCACGGCCAAGGCACGGCGCGGCAGCAGCGGAGAAAGCGAACAGGGCGCAGCAACGCGATCAGTGCAGGGTAAAGGGAGCAGAGCATGCTCTGGCAGTCCACAGTGTAACGGACCGCGGGCCGGGCGCTATCAGCCGGCCCGGCTGGACCCGTAGCCTGTAGGGCCGTTGTGTGGCGACAGGCCGCCGGGCCGCCACGCCGGAAGCGGCGGCTATGACAAATTCAGCGTGACGAACTCGCGAGACGGCACAGGACACCCACAGGTCCTGAATACTGTACCGGTAGGTAGCCACGCTGGCTGGACTCGCTGGGGGCCACGCAGTATGCAGGGCTGCCGCGCGACTGCCTCGCGGCTACGCGGCTACGCGGCTACCGCGCAGCGGCCTCAAGTATTCCAGCATCGAACACGACGCGTGCACTATACAGCGCAGCTTGACTCCGAACAGCGGTCTCCCTCGCACTCGTGGGGCGCCCCGTAGGGGTGCGAGAGACGGAGCGACGCCGATCGGAGCGCAGAGCCCGTCGCGGCCGGTGCAGTATCGAGGCCCGTGCCAACGAAAGCCAGGCGCGCCACGGCACAGAGGTGGCAGCCTGGCAGCCTGGCGGTGCGCTGGCTGCTCGCTGCGCTTTTGCGGTACAGTTAGGTCGTAAACAGGGGCCGATCGCACGCAACCTGGGTGTGGCGGCGTGTCGTACAACAACAGCAGCAGCGCTAGCAGCGCTGGCCGGGCCGTGTCTTTTACAGCGGCAGTCTATCGGGGCATTAATGGCTCTGCTTTACGGTAAATAGTAGTGCATTAGCCCCGCGCATGCGCGTGTGGCGGAATGCATGCGTCATGGGAAGGGACAGAGCGCTCCAGCCATGGCCAGCCACGGCCAGCCATGGCCAGCCATGGGCACCCAGCTTGTTATTCCCTCCAGCGGCTCCCTGCTGGAGAACGTCCATGCCAGCAGAGAGGAAGACTGGTCGCGCGGCCGCGCCCCGCCACGCCCCGCCACGCCCCGCCACGCCCTGCCACGCCCCGCGGGGTGATTTTGCTCGACAAAACGTGGAGGTCGTAGCAATGAGCAGGCGAGCGTGCGCACGCACGCGCGCGCACACACACATGCATGACAAGTGGCGATAGATGCAATGCTCTCTCTCTCACTCAAACACACACACAAACACTCTCTCTCTCTCTCTCTCTCTCTCTCTCTCTCTCACACACACACACACACACACACACACACCACAATCGTCGCTTTACATAGGCACGCCAAGGCGTTCCAGTGTACCAGTGACATTCCATAACACACGCCGCGTGTCAAGTACTTTCACCGGCAACGCCGCACCGAGCTGGGGCTATAGGACGCTCGGCGCGGCCAGGACGCAGGGCCCCCACGGCGGCCCTCGCGGCGCTCATTACAATGCGGTCCGTACGCAGTGCGCACGCCATACAAACAAACCCAAATTTATTTCCGAGAGCAAGGCGCCG